GGGGGGGGGGGGGGGGGGGGGGGGGCAGAGTGGCGAAGACACTACAGTCCTGGCTGCGCCTGGTTTCTGGAAAGTAGATGTAACGCTCGGTGTGAGTGCAGCCGGGAAGGTAGAAGGAGTCCAATGGTTGTAAAGAGGACATTGCATGGGTCATTGCTGGTCAATGGCATGTCTATTGATTGATGTACAATCTTATATAACACACAAGGAGCAGTCCTATTTCATGTTTGCCTTGTATATTCAAGCTGCAAACGTGGGTATACTCTTCATTTGCAAAAAATGTAGCGTGTACGCCACGAAAAGCGGTAGTCGAAGTTTGTGATTTGGTAGTATCTTTACGAGATATTCAGTTTGAAGGCAGTTCTATAAGCAACGCCAATTTTCCAATACAGTACTTTTTGGAGCATGCTTTTAGGTGGTGAGTAAACTTCAAGAAGCAATGAATGTATGCAGCTGTATTAATTATAGCTATTTTTTTTTTTGATGATGATATATCACGAAAATGCTGCGAAATTTATTTTCGTGGAATATTCCGCCAGTAAAAATATTTTGGCACATACAACCACACCGCCTTACTTAGTTAGAGATGGTGGTTGGAAACAATTCCCACAACATTTGAATCTCTTATTGCCAAATAACTCTCTGAGCAACAGTAGTGTAACTCTTCCAATGGCTACTATTCACCTCTACTTCTTGAAACTTCAGTTTACTAAAAGTTGCTAGCGATTGAAATTCGGTTATCCCCGATATTTCCTCTTCTTACTTGCGGCCGTATACTGAAATTCTACATTTTGCAATTCTAATTGCTTTCATCTTCCAATTCTCTCACTACCAGAAATTGTAAAGCTATTCTCTATATTCTGTTACATTTCCCCTCATAAAATAAAAACAAAAACAAAAACAAAAAATTCGCATCGTAAATAGAGAAAGAAAACTTTGAAAAAAGGCGGGGAATTTTCTCAACATTTCTTGTTACAAAGAGATAGATGGATAGAGTTGTCGTTTTGAAAGTCGGGGTACACTAATGTGAGTCACACAATTTTCAAACTAGAGTAAACTAAAATGGTCGTACCACCAACTGCCATGGTAAGCGATGATATTACTGGACTGAAGTGTTTATATATATATATATACATAATACTAGGATGGGAAATGTTTAGGAGCAAATCGCAACAAAGAGCCGCGGTAAAAAAAATATTCCCGACAGTTAAACTCTCTTTCCAAAAATGTCCAATCGTTTCTTACATCTGACTTTTTCTTCAATTACACACTGGTATCTACAACAAGCAGCACTTTATCGACTCCCACTATTATACAGAATGACAATGGGTCAAGAGCAAGAGCTTATTGCCAGCCTTCGTGATTATGTGGCGCCAGCTTATCGCGGCAGCAACACCTCGGTATGGCATCGTGTCCCGATAACAAGAAGGTCAGCAGTGTTTATTCTACTCTTTTTAGGCAACATGGGGGAGCTAAGGGTGCTTCTAACTAAAAGATCATCCAAGTTGAGGAACTTCCCGGGCCATGTGGCGTTACCCGGTGGTAAAGCAGACAACGGACTCGAATCGGAATGGATGGTTAGCCGAAGGGAAATGCACGAAGAGATTGGATTGTCTTCCGATGATGAATCGTTGGCGAAATTGGGTATCAGTATAGAGCATGTTGCACTATTACCTAGTTATCTATCGAGGACATTTTCCTGTGTTAGACCATGTGTTGGGTTTATGAAGTTTAGTAATGAGGGCGATGTCGAAGCTACAATTTCGTCAAAGTTGAATCTTGTCTTGAACCCCGGTGAAAGTTCTTCGATATTTTCATGTCCATTAAAAGACTTTCTATATCCAGCAGTTGACGAATCAGCAAGGGAAGCTTTGGAAAGGGTGTCATATCATATGAAGTGGGGAGGTATTCCTTGGGCTTTACGGTCATATACATTCCTACAAAAGAATCCAAATGAGGTCGAATGGCTAAAACATATCAAGGATCTATCGGCACTGGAAGATGATGAGTTGGGGGAGGAGTTGGATATGTCAGACAAGGGAAGAATTACACCTCCAAACACAACTCCCTTGAGGTCGACGTCTCCTACCAGAGCCAGATCAAGATCACCAATACGGAGTAGTACCTCACTCCAACCAAAAGATAGAAAAAAGAAACCCGACTTGTCCTCATGGGGCAGACTAGGATCTCGAACAGATGAAGACACGAATGAAAAAATATACGACGTTTGGGGACTCACTGCCAATATTCTTCACGACTTGAGTGAGATAGTGTATGCTAGAGATAGAATTGGCAAGAGGCATATTGGAGAAGAAGAAATGATAAACAGCCTATATGAGTTTGGCCACCTTATGCGACAAAAGGAACGAAGCGATGCCGAAGTCAAATTGATCCATTCATCAAACACACCAGGTTCGAATGAGTCTGAATTTGGATTCAATCTGGTTTTACCTCTGGAAGAATTCAATAGATTGAAAAAGTTATATAAATTGTAATAAAAAGGTCGTAGGATAAAGAAATAACATGTAAATGAGGTGCAAAAGACATTGGGGAACGCGAAAATAATTCTCGACGCAATTGCAGCAGTCACCAACGCCATGCCGTCGCTTGATCAAGATGAAAAGACAATCCGCCTTCTCAATCTAGTAAACGAGTATCAGGAATTGACAACCATCTATCGACAGCACTACATAAATGGGTTCCTCAATTTAAGTCGAGCTAATTTCCAAAGTGAAAAGACCAAATTTGGCAAGGACACATGGGATATGAGAAATTACGATGCTTGTAAAATAGTCGACATTATTGGTGAATCTGGGGAGTTTAATATTATTGATAGGCGGTTGGAAACACCAAAAAGTGAGGCCGATGTTGATACACACAACACGGAAATGGTACCCGACACCCAATTGAAGAATCGAAAGAAGCAAAAGGAGACTTCCAACTCTACGGAAAAAAGTGACAATACTAGTTATAAAGACCCCATTTTACAGTTTGGAGTATTGACACCACCACAACTCAGGACCAGTCAAGAAGATTTCGATCGAGCTTTGAGATTGAGTGTTCAGATTGTAAATATACAACGCAAAATTGTGATCTTGACATCCGAACTAGAGAATATATAGCACTATCTGCCTAATGTATGCACTTTGTTCATACTCTATACTTCTACATCACTGTACAAGTCACTATCATTCTCATAGTCTTCAGCGTTAATTTCCGGCATGTCTTCATCTTCATCAGCGTCCTCGTCGCCACTAGCCTCATCACCACTCCTATCTTCGGTGGCACCATCTTCACCTGCTATCCTTGCCTTTTTCCTGAGTTTCTTTGCTTGCTTTGCATCAAGTTTAGCTTGTACAGCGGCTTGTTGTTTTGCTCTCCTCTCTTGTTTCACCTTTTCCTTCAACTTGTGCTTGGCATCAAGCTTTTGTGCTTCATCAGCAGACTTTGATATAGAAGAATGATAAAGTGTTTTTGATGAACCGACTAATCCTTCCTCGATTTTTAACAACGACATATTTATCCTTGGCCCCAATTCAACCAACTTGATAGCTCTCTTTTTTGACGTTGTGATTGACTCTTGTTGTTGAGGTTGGTTCTCATTTGGTTGTGATTGTCTTTTGAGCAATTCCTCATGTTGCACTTCAACAACAGCGTCATCTTCCACTTCACTATCCGATGTCAATCCACCAATGGCATAAGGATCCAAAATCAAATCGGCAACGTCCTGTGCATTGGTCATTTTGGGCAATTTCTTCTTCAAGTTGTGATGCGATTGAATGAGTTTCTTTACACTTTTACTCTCATCCACAAGCTTGGTATTGATGGAGTAATGCCTAAGCTCAATCTGTCCAGTCATTTTATCCTTAGAAATAAGCAATACTCTCTTGATAGTGTTGACTTTGGTGTTTTGTGGCTGGATAGGAGGGAACATATTTTGGAACATTGTGACCATCAATTTCTCATGCATCGGCATCTCATTGATGTTGTTAGTGAACCCATTTAACACCAATAATGGAGGCTGATGGAACTCAGCACTATCTTTACCCACTGATTTTGGATGCTTCAAGATTTTTCTTACATCTTTGCACAAGGAGTAGGTGTTTACCATGAATTGCAAAGTTGGACCTCTTGGTAATTTGCCCATACGCAAAGTGATATTCCCCGATGTGGTTTGGTTAAAGATGAATAAGTCAGACACATGCAATGGACCGCACATGACTATGAAATCCTTTAGTTTGTTAGACTTGCGTTCTCGTAAGTTGATGGCCGTGTGTGGTTGCATGACATTTCTAAAGTCAGATACCAATTGAGATAATGAGTGATTTTTCAAAGATGAACCTAGATGGATCACCATTGATTTGGGTATTTTGGCAACATCCTCTTCACTGGGTTTCTGGTGAGTTCTTCTCTTTGTTCTTCTCTTGGCCATTATCGTATGGATATGTGGGTCTTCCCTGTTACTAAGAAAGAGAAAGAGTTGGAAAAATTGAAAATCCATCGCATCGGTTGATTGATTGAATTGCACAAAAGAAAAATATCAAAAAAAAATAAAAAAAAAAAAAAAAACGCTTTATATAGCCTTCATCACAATCCCCACCACATTACATTTCAAACTGTAGTTGTCGAAGCCATGTCGTCCAAAGGAATACAGAAAAAGAATAAAGCATCTGATGCCACAAAGAAACTAGCTGAAAAGATCAAAAAACAGGCTTTGCTCAAACAAAAACAATTACAAGAGTCCAAAGAATCATCGCAGCAAGAGGATGGTGCTAAAGAAGAAACTTCAGCCCCAACCGAAACCACTATCGATCCCGACGCTGAACTCAAGTTCAATACATTTGCTGAACTAAATCTTGTTCCAGACTTGCTCGAAGCCATTCAGCAAATGAAGTTCACCAAGCCTACTCCAATCCAATCTGAAGCAATACCTCATGCACTTGAAGGTAAAGACATCATTGGGTTGGCAGTAACTGGTTCAGGTAAAACTGCAGCATTTGCAATTCCAATCTTGCAAGCACTCTGGCATGCACAAACTCCCTATTTTGGACTAGTTCTTGCTCCTACTAGAGAATTAGCGTTTCAAATCAAAGATACATTTGATGCTCTTGGTGCCACGATGGGTCTAAGATCGGTGTGTATTGTTGGTGGAATGGATATGATGGATCAGGCAAGGGACTTGATGAGGAAGCCTCACATAGTTGTTGCAACTCCAGGAAGAATCATGGATCATTTGGAACATACCAAGGGTTTCAGTTTAAAGAATTTAAAGTATCTTGTTATGGATGAAGCTGATCGATTGTTGGATATGGATTTTGGACCAGCGTTGGATAAGATATTGAAGGTGATACCTCCAAAGCGTACCACTTATTTGTTTTCAGCAACCATGACAAACAAGATTGAAAAGCTACAAAGAGCCAGTTTGCATAACCCCGTGAGAGTTGCCGTTTCGACAAAATACCAAACTGCTGACAATTTAGTACAATCAATGATGTTGGTCAATGATGGGTACAAGAATACAATTTTGATTCATTTGTTGAATGAGTTTATGGGCAAATCGATTATCGTGTTTACAAGAACCGTGGCACACGCACAAAGAACGGCGTTGTTGGCTCGAATATTGGGGTTCAATGCTGTTCCCTTACATGGTCAACTATCACAAGCACAAAGATTGGGTTCTTTAAACAAGTTCAAGTCCTCAAAGGCCAACATTTTGGTTGCTACGGATGTCGCCGCTAGAGGTTTGGATATACCACTGGTTGATGTGGTGATCAATTATGACATACCAACGGATTCGAAAGCATATATCCACAGAGTAGGAAGAACCGCCAGGGCAGGTAGATCAGGTAAGTCCATTTCCTTAATCACGCAATATGACTTGGAGATGTACTTGCGAATTGAAAATGCATTGGGAAAGAAACTTCCCAAAGAGGAAAAGCCTTCCAAGGAAGTTCTTGATGCGTTGCACATTCATGTGGACAAGGCTACAGCAGAGGCTATTAGACAGACTAAGGAAATACACGACAAGAGAGGTAAAAGGAAAAGAGATGACGATCGTGAGGAGAAGTGAGTGAAGCGCAAATTGAAGCTGTATTTAGGTAGTAGCTATTTATTTACTTATTTATGTAAGAAATGAACCGGACACTCACCATATCCCTTTTTGTTGAACCAATCCTTGATGCATTTATAGTGGAAAACGCATAGACATTCTAATCTACCGACTTTATCTCCCGGCTTTAAAGTTTCAAGACATATAACGCATTCATCCTCTTCAATTTTCTCCTGAGGCACAAGTGAGATGTCAACACTGGTACTTGCAGACTGAACTCCACCAATGTTCTCGTACTGCGGCTTTGGGATGGGCGGTATATTATACACCAACATTTTGTTCTTTGGATTCAGTTCTGGTGAAAACCTAGTCGAATGATCTGTATTGAAATCAAACGCCACTAGACAGTCACTAATGTGTTGCTCCTTGTATTTTTCAAAATCGTCATTCGATATGAGCTCCACGTTTTGCCTATCTGAAATGTATTCTTTTAGTAGGTCAGTCGCGCAAACCGGGCATAGGTTTCTATCACTTGCTCCATCTTGGGTTCGTCTAGTCAAGGATGTAGTAGATGAAGAACAGGGTAGTCGGTGGGTGCGTTCGCGTGACGTGTACTTGATTCCATTGACATCATCATCATCACTCTGATTCACCACCGTGTTTGGCTCATCAAATAACGCCCGTCGAATCATGGTAATTTCATTAGCACATTCATCGCATGTCTTGTAAACTTCATTTGGTTGTGATAATCGTACCCTTGGCCCATTGCCCTCAGCGTTTGGTTTATATATGTCTGGAGGGGTCGCTATTGGTGTGTTGTCAAAATAATGTATCTCCTGAGACGAACAGTCGCCACAGACGACCCTTCCACATTTCCTGCAGTGATGCCGCCTGTGGAATATGCTGTATGTCGTGTGACACATAAAACACTCTGTAACGTCGTCATCATTCTGCCATACTGGCGCAGCAACTACCTGTGGTGGCATGCTGAAAAAGAGAAGCTATAGTTGCTAAGTGGCCTCAGTGGCAACTGTGGATCACTTTTTTTTTTGTTTGCCTTTTGTAGAAAATTGTGGATCACCAAAGGAAGAAAACTTTCTTCACCCCCTGATTAACTCTTTTGACTGTGTGATTGTGTGATTTTGACTGTGACTGTGACTGTGACTGATCTTATCTCTGAGAGAGAGAAACAAGGGTAAGCTACACAAAGCTGCTTTCTATCACGTGATAATTTGAGGCTTTGAACACGACTTTTTTTTTATACCAGGACTACTGAGGAGAGTATCTCCACTAACACTTACTTTCATCAAGAAACTAACCAAACTAATGTCCGATAGATTAACACAGCTACAGATCTGTTTAGATCAGCTAGTGGAGCAATTCAATGCTACAGTGCACTACGTGAATATCCATGCAAAGCCAGCCTTATTAGATGAGGATCCAACATCGGTATCGAATAGGGCGGCTACTGCTCCAGCACCTCAACTGCAACAACAACAACAACAACAACAGCAGCAGCGGTCTCCACAATCGGCTCAACAACTGCCGAAAGAAGATGCTAATCAAGAATCTAAGGAATTGTCGAAACCCGCTGAGGCCGCTGAAGAAGATTTTGATAGCACGCTTGATGAGCTAGCTACTGATATTGTATTGAAGAGTAGACAGATCAACATGTTGATAGACTCGCTACCGGGTATAGGTGTCACGCCAGAGGCACAAATGAAATTGATATCGGACTTGAGCCAAGAGTTGAAACAAGTAGAACACGAAAGACAAGCAAAGATTGAGGAGAAGGACACCTTGTTGAGGAAAGTTGATGATTTGATCAAAGACTTGGCTACAGGTATTTCGCAAGTGAGGTCGTGAAAAAAAAAAAAAAAATAAAAAGAAACTGTTTATAGAATCAGCTTAATCTAATGTGCAATTTGTTGCTGTGATCTTTTACCCTCCGTAAGTCATACAATCCATATTCCAACCAGGAAACCATTTATGGACAACGCACGCGGCTACCGTCCATTCGGTTCCATATATTAGCGGCACATATTCTTCAAAGCAGTAAATAGCACCTGAAAGTACAGCTACCATCAATGAAACTCGAACAAATTTGTGTTGGTAATTCATGTACTCTCCTAAATTCAATATGGCAAAATACAATGCTGGCAAGTAATGGTGAGCGTAAAGATTGCGGTGTAGGAAAAAGTACGGCCAATAATGAAGCGCCCAACCGGCAATATACAACAACGCATTTGCATAAAACTTTTGCTTTGGCTCGGGATCAAGGTACGCCACATATGGATTCAAATTTCGCAACCCATAGAATGCAAGCTTGGCAATGACAACAACAATAACAATAAAGCTGAGTATGTACGTTGTGACATTTCCCAAAAAGTAAATCTGACTGGTGTGCTCAGTCAAGCTTGTATATTGAGGCAAGCTCTGGAAATAAGCAACACCCCTAAGCACAAATGGCCAAGCTTCTGGTCGGGAGCTATACTTATGTGGAGTGGTGAAATCTGCATTGACTCTGAACATTGCCTGGTGGAGGTCCCAAATTTTAGTGAGAAGCGATACCAGTCCGAAGTCCACTTGTGTTTTAGGCCCGTCTAGTAATGGATGCAGGTTGGATTCAATGTACCATAACGAGTTTGGGATTGTTGATTCTTCAACGCATAGTACCTCATTTTGATAATCGCCCCAGCTGGGGAGTTTGCTATCATGGCTTATCAAATTGCACTTTTTGTCCCTGCTCACCAACATGAATATTGTTTCAGTTGCACGTAATTTGATCATTGGTAAATTATTCGTGGAATGTGGCTTTTTGTTTAGAATCCGCAACCTAAACTCGTACTCCGTGTCTCCCAACAACCCCCTTGTTTCATTACAGTTGACTTCTTTGGAGTAGTCGTGCTCAGAGATGGGCGGTCTCACATCATTCACATGTAAGTACCTTCCGGTTGCTTTATGGTACAATCTAATAATCTCTCCATCTTTAACGGGGCGGCTTTGGTTGTAATGCTTGTGCTCGTAAAACTTGCGTGGGATCTCAACAACCCATTCATTGTTAGGATCCTCGTAGCCATACAATGTCACCTGTTGTAATTGGGTTCCCCTGGGGTAAGATTTATCGTGCGAGTGGAGATACTTTTCGAGGTTATTGTGTTTGATTGTGACTGTACTTCCATACAACACCTCTACCGGTGAAGTTTTATAATCTTGGAAAGTGGATCTGAGTCTAGGGGATATGAGTCCACTGTGGGGGCCTTGGAATGGTAGTAGATCAAAATGTATTTTCCATAGGGAAAGGTATATCGTCAATGGTACAACCAGTAACACCAAGAGCTTGTAGAATAGGACTCTGATCCATTTGAATGTAGATACCGTTAAATCACCAAGCAATTGATAGGAATCCCACAAGGAAAAGAGTACAGCCCATAACGCCGTATAAAAGCCAGTCAATTTGATCGAGATTGTCCAGCCTAGCGCTAGTCCAGTTGCGATTAAAGATATCCACCACAACCTTCCTTCTGTCTCTGTCTTGGTAGATAGCCTAAAGCAATAGATTGCACCGGCCTGACCCAAGATCAAAGCCGAATCGAGCAAGATCAATCTCGATTGTGTAGCTATTGAGTTTTCAAACAATACGAGCGCCGCAGTGAATAACGAAGCCCAATGATCTGAGTCTAAACGCATAATCAAGTATGTAACATCAACAGCTAGTATACCGCAGAGTCCCGAAAGCGTTCTCATAATTGTATATGGAACATTCTGATATGGTTGTCCGATAGATCCAAACTCAACATCGGCGTCAAAATAGGTCAACTTGGCCAATAAATAGTAGATCAACTTTCCCAACGGCGGATGCACATCAACAAAAAAAGTGCCATTGAAGTAATGCTGTACATATCGCATGAGATGGATCTCATCAAAGACTACATTTGCCGGTTGGTAAATTTTGTAAATACGTAGAAGGGAAATTGACGTGAGACAAAGTAATATTGCAACATCTCTTTTGGTGAGGCGGTTAGCTTTCCGTCTTTTTGACTCAACAATGTACGGCCTATATGGTCCTGAGTTGTATATCTCCGCCTCTTTCGATGTCATTGCCGATGAATGAAGGAGATCTTCATGTAAATTTTTCAAAAAAACCAAAGAAATGGAAATTTTGCGCGTGTTTTATTAGCACAGCCATTGAACAAAAGGTTCTTCTATTAAAGTACTAATATACAAAATCTATACCATCATTTCCTGTTTATTCTTTTTCAACTTTAGTTTCAATTCGCTCTTTATAAGACCATAGGAGTAGACGGCAACTCCGACAAGACAACTAATTGTCACTCCAATACCAGCGACTGCAAATACAGCACCCATTACTTTAAAAGTCAATAATGAATAGTTCCCCACACCACCTTTTCCAATTTCTGTATTGGACAAGGACATGGTACACAAGGGGAAAGTCATTGCCCAGAACCCTTTGTGGTGTTTCAAAAGTCCATACTTGTTGGTATGCTTCTTGTTTGGTAGTTTGGCAAATGGACGAATCTTTGAGAAGATTGACACGACAGCTATGAAGGTCATGTAGTAACCGAATGAAAGGATAAACAATCCGAGAAACCCCCCTATACAGAGAAATATCTTCCCGTATATCAAATCTTCCGGAATAAGCTCATTCAAGTTGTTTCCAAATAAGTAAATGCTGTATGAAGATTGTCCCAAGAACCCTACTGGTAAAAACCCGGTAAAGACCAATTGCGTTGGTGGAATCTTGTGCATAATCAACCTCCAAATATATATAGTGATGATCGCAAACGCCAAACAAATTGACAATGCCCACATCATGTAACTGACAATCATGGTGATGACGGTTTCGTTCAATTTATACAAATTCAACTCGATTAAATGACCCGAGGATGATGACACTGTAAGTGCCACTATCGGGAGCAACAAAGTAGCGTTCAATTTGGTGTCGGACTCAACTGCATTCAATTTGGAAAAGAAACTAATGTAGACTATCGGAAAAGCGGTGTATAATGCCGAGGCAGCTGAAATCCACCACAATGTCCACACGAGATACATGTGACGTCCTTTCGTGATAAACGAAATGTAGTTGACTATTGTTGTGAACCCCATGGAAAGACAGCCCATGTATGATGCCTGTAGTGGATCGACATGGTACGTTCTCAACTTGTGTGGAAAGTAAACCACTTGCATAATGAAAAATACCATGTTTACGATAAACAAGAGGCAGCAGATCCCAAACATGATGTACGAACAAACCTGTAGCCAATGGGCTGGGAATGGGAAATTGTACAAGATTGTGGAGGATATCCCTGTACCCATTACAGAAACAAAATATGCCGGGACAAATTGTTTCACCAAGTTACCCACGATAAACCGATTGTACCATGACTCTTCCCTCGGTATGGGTTTTGACCCTCCTCGTAGCTGTTCCTGCAAATGCTCATATTCTTTTGAAGTTGATGCAATAGAAGATATAACTGAATCATAATCCATACTATTTACTCTATTGGCATTTTGATCTTGCTGTGGAGACAGCTGTTGTGTTTGAGCGGTGCTTGAAGAATGCTGTGAATAGTTGTCATCGGATATGTTATTCTGTAAGTTCGAGTGCGCATTTGCATCTCCATCACGTATAATTCCGTCAACCACAGCTTGGTGTTGTGCCGATGAAATATCCGAATTACTGTGGCTGTTCATCTCGTCACCTGATATGTTGCAATTTATTGTGAACAGAAAATTCAATTCATACACAAAATCAGCAGTACGATCAGTTATAATATTGTATAGTCTGTTTGGTTGCAAAATATAAGCTATACAGGTGACTTGTTGCAAGTGGGTGTAAGTGGATGCGAGTAATGAGTTCTATCAGGGCTCACGATATGAATGATGAAGTATGACTATTATCATTTTGGAAGTGATCCACAATTTTTTTTCTTCTCTCTCTCTCTCTCTTATGCGGCATATATTTTTCTTTGACAAGTAAATATTTACAGAATCGGGACCCCTATCCCGTTGCGGGACATTATTGGCTTTGCTTGAAAAGAGAACCATTGTGGTATGCACTTTTTCTCTGAAGCTCGGTGACCGAAGAAATCATGATCAAACATGAGGAGAGGGGAACGCGATATCTGCAGCTCGGTAAATAATAGAAGGGCTCATGGGTAAATATACGTGGAGGTGACCTCAACTGGTTTGCAGCTGTGAGGTATGAATAGATGTCTATACTTTGTTTCGGAAGTTTTGGAAGCCGTTTGGCTCGTGGGCTGAATCACGGAACTCGGACATTTGCAAACCTGGGAAAGGTTTACCCATGTTGGCAAGCACACAGTTCATGAGATCACATAAATATTACCGGGCAGCACTTGAAAATGGGCATCCTTGATGTGCCTCCTCAATAGCAAGAAGAGTGGATGCGCTTACTTGTTGTAACCGAGCTGCAGCCCCTTTGGCGTTTGACTGCATAAGTATAAAGGATTATATGTTTCGTGAGTAAATTGAAAATTACCTATTTGGGATATTTTCTGAGCGGTGCCGACAATGAGAGAGCGAAAAATAGAAAATCTCAATTTTTTTTTTTTGCTAAAGCGGTGGGCGGGTAATTAATTTTTGGTACTTTTGTGTTAAATTAATCTCAATTACAATTTGATTTACGTGTTCTTCTCGAATTAGAGAGCAAGGAACCAGAGTAAAGGTTATGGAAATTATACTGTTCATGAGATATGAGATGCAACGATAGGGCTTCTTGGTGGGGTGATTGAGTACGAAACAAGTAGTAAAACGGAAGAAACAAAATATTCAGCTTTTACCACAGGCTACGTGAATTTGACTCTTCACGCTTTTAAGAGGCTGTGCATTACTAGTATTGGACACGATACAACTAAAACTTGGTGATGTCACCCACAAGTTATTGTAAGTCAACAATGTAATTGGTTACTTTGCGGGAATTAATTTCCAGTCCAAGGATAAACAAAACTCCCTCCCCCCTTCAACTCAAGTATCATCCTCGTTGATCTCTTTCAAAAGACTTACCTCAAGTGCTATTTGCTCCTCACTCGGCTCTTGTTCGCTGTAGAGACCACTCCTCAGTAGATCCAAAAAGACACACGAGTTTGTCTTTCTTGAATAGCCTGTAAAAGCGGGGGTGTAAACAAACGGTCTAAAATTTTAGTTTTGTTTTTACCAGTTTAGGACAATAGGAGGTGGTAGCAGTCGGCTCATCCCGAATTGGAATAAAAGTTTTTCATTGGCTGAAAATACCCGCCTCCGTTTGCTCATACAAAAAAAAATCTTTGCATTACTCCCCCCCCGACTAATAATACAAAAAAAAAAATAAAAAGCCAGATTGTTATATAAATCAGTTGATATATCCTTCCTTTTTTTCCTGTTTTACATTTAGTTTTTACTACTTTTGCTTTTTTACAGCTTTGCTACCTAAATTTGACTCAACTTACCAACTTACCCAACTTCAACTACTGCATTCTATATTTTTCTTCTTAAACCACACTTCGCAACTATCGAAAAAGCCACAGAATATACAATGCTTTTAAACCCAACAAATATTATCGACAAAAACAACTCCAACAGCAGTCTTGGTGTTTCGAAATCACAACATATTTCATGCTCAGCTGCTGCTTCTAGTGCCCCTAGATCATTTCCATACGCCGCATCAAATGAGTTAAAGTTATCGATGGATCGTGGTCATGAAATAAACGGTACTACCATCGACAATATCGACAAATCATCCAGCTTTTATAAACTTATAATGGACTTGAAGCAACTCCTAGCTGGTAAAGGCTTATCTTCGGAGGATATTGACGTTGAAAAGGTTACCGAACTAATGGAAAACTATAAATCAAGTGACGACGATTGGTCGCATTTGGCACTCCATGATGAAACAAGAAACTACTCCAGAAATGGTGTCATCAACTTGAATGGTAACGCTAACTTGTTGATACTTGTGTGGTCTCCAGGTAAGTCAAGTGCTATCCATGACCATGCTAATGCTCACTGCTGTATGAAGATTTTAAAGGGTGAGCTTAGAGAGTCGTTGTACGATATTCCTGAGCAAACTGGACAAGAGTTGAAGTGCAAGAAGGAAACACCATTGTATCGCGATCAAGTTGGATATATCTCTGACAAGATTGGTCTTCATAAGATCACAAACCCATTGAAGGATGAATTTAGTGTGTCACTTCATCTCTATACTCCTCCATATGCTGCATTATATGGATGTAGTATGTACGAAGCCTCCAACGGAAGAAAGCACCATGTTGACATGTCAAAATACTACAGTTGGCAAGGGGAGTTGGTCAATGACACCCAACATCTGACTTGCTAGAATATTTAGTGTATACTCTCATAGTTTAGCTATTTAAATGATTGAGTTTATTTATTTCTTTTTAAATCTTGACTTGATGGATCTCTCTAATATAGTCTCAGAAAGTCAGAGCCACCTTCGTAGGGCACTTGCAACCAATTCTTCTTATCGTAATCTGCGACTCCATCAATAACATGAAATGCATAAGCATATCTCGATTTTTCACTCTTGTTCTTTTCCAGCTTATGAAGAACTGAATTGTGGATCAATATCAAAGATCCCGCTTTACATGGCACCATTTTATAATCTCCCTCAATTGGTTTATCCTCTAGTAACTGCTCAAAAGTACAACCCAGATTCAATCCATCTTTCCTCACAAATCTCTTTGATACAGGATATGTCTTGTGGGTTCCTGGTATATACGACAAACATCCATTTTCCTCCGTACAATCTTCCAAAGCGATCCAAAATCCAATAGCAGTTTGTGGTGTCGTGAATAAGAAAGTTGCGTCGTTATGAGGAGGCACGGCATTATCACGTTCCGTGGTTGGGCTCTTGGTCCCCACTGGTTGTTTGAAAATACACATACTTTGCAACACTTTTGGTTGACCAAATTTCAAGTCTTGAGCAATGTCCTTCACTTTTCCGTCAAATGTGATCTCCTTGAATAATGGATCTTCAATATGTAACCCATGTCCAATTTTATTAATCGATTTCAGCAATTCAATAGTCAAATCCCCATTCTTGTCAAATGCATCTGTGTCGAAAAAATAAGAAATCTTATCGGCTGATTCATAAAAGTATCTGTCCCCGATATGATCCTCATCTGAAGTTTTGAATGTGGTCTTTGGGTGGGTTGATAAATCGCATTGTTCGAGTAAATGTTTGGATTGAGCCAAGAGTTTAGAAGTTTGTTCCGGGGTGAGAAAATCCTCGATGCAGAGCATCCCTTCAGAGTGGAAGGTGTCGAGCTGAGATTGGGTGAGTCCTGTCATGTCGATTTGTTTTACGTTGTGTTAAGAACTGGCGGATCTATTTTCTTATCAGCGGCTATTTCTGTTTTTCTTCTACTCGCGTGGTGGTCCCGCCTTTTTTAACTACGGAGAGTAAACCATTGCATTAGAGTCGCCAAATAACGAGCAGAAGTTCTCTTGAAAAAAAATACGTTAGAGTTTCTGAGTTTGAATGGGCTTGTAGCGAGGTTTCTGTGTTCTGAGAACATATATTCAGAGATGGTCCTCCACGTAGGACTTCCTTTGAAACTGTTCCCTCGGCATAACCCAAACATTAAGTATATTTTTTTGGCTTAGAAAACACGTCCAGCACTTCCAAATTACCAAAGCTCCAATCCAATACTTCCTATAATCTTTAGTCGTTGATTGTGGTGTTTGTTGGGACCGGACGGGACCCCATATTCATTCCGAATTGTGGGACCTCTTAAGCGCATAAGAGAGCAACAAAAAAAGACAATGCACAATCACCGACAAACATTCTTGTTACTCAATAAGAGTCAAACAAACACACTGCAAATATGCAAGCATCATAGTCTCCACTTCTATATACCCAAGCACCACGTGCCATGACATATCTTCAGCAGTTGATTGACAAGAATAAAGATGAATACAACCGAGCAACGAGACATCCTCTAACAAACGAGTTGTGTCTGGGAACCCTCTCAGACTCCAAATTGTTCGTGTACCTCACTCAAGACTTGCAATTTTTCAACTACAGTCTCAATCTTCTTGGAAAGACTTTGGCGCTATGCGATGAACCAGAGGCTTCGGTGAGGTTAGCTAAACAAATTGGGTTTCTTGCGGAAGATGAGAATACTTACTTTGCAGATACGTTGAAAGAGTTGGAGAGTTCCGATTTGTCATCGGTAGTTAAAATGAAAAAAGAGTCAATAGTTTTGCCAGAAGTCACTCAGTATATCGATTACTTGAAGTATTTGATCAACGACTCAACATCATATTCTGAATTGATAACGTTTTGCTATGTTATGGAAAAGGTATATTTGGAGTGGGTAGAGCATAATCAACAAGCAAACAATATTGCCAAAGGCTTGCCCAAGAAATTCCAAACTTGGATAGATTTACACAGTGGTGATCATTTCATTGAATGGGTCCAGTTTTTGAGTAATGAGGTCGAACGTCGTCTTGAATTGGAGGCGAAAGATGACGACAAGTACACCAAGATTTACGAATCCACATTCATCAAGTCTTTGAAATTGGAGAGTGATTTCTTTGAGGCGTGCTATTCGTATACAGAGGATGTAAAGTAAGAAAGGAACCGGTGCGTAGCTCCAGCCTGTATAACTGCATGGCAAAGCGAGACAATATTTTGATAAAGCCGATTCTATAAAGGGAATTGCTTTGTGTATACTTTATAGATTAATACAGGAACTCTTAAATGCATATTTTATCTAAACATCCCCACCCCCTTTAACTGATTACTGCAAATGGAGAAGACTCCTATCATCATATGCCTTTACAAAGCCTCCAGCAATGTAGCATTCTGGGTATAAATTCGCTACGAATCGACCTCCCTCTGCAAGCCTCAAAGTACTATCTCCTACAGTAACCCAATCGCGTCGCTATGTCCACTAACAAAATTACTTTCTTGCTCAACTGGGAGCCAACCCCTTACCACATTCCAGTATTTTTGGCTCAAACCAAAGGATATTTCAAAAGAGAAGGTTTGGATGTTGCCATTCTTGAACCATCTAACCCATCAGATGTCACTGAATTGATTGGTTCTGGAAAAGTTGATATGGGATTGAAAGCCATGGTTCATACATTGGCTGCAAAAGCTAGAGGATTTCCTGTCACTTCAATAGGCTCATTATTGGATGAACCCTTCACCGGTGTTTGCTATTTGGAGTCTTCGGGTATTACCACCGACTTCCAATCACTCAAGGGAAAGCGCATTGGATACGTTGGTGAATTTGGAAAGATTCAAATTGATGAATTGACCAAGCACTATGGTATGACACCAGATGATTACACTGCTGTCAGATGTGGTATGAATGTTGCCAAGTACATCTTGGAAGGCAGTATTGATTGTGGTATTGGCATCGAATGTATCCAACTGGTTGAATTGGAAGAAGCTTTGAAGCAACAAGGAAAGGACCCAAATGAGGCCAAGATGTTGAGAATTGACAAATTAGCTGAATTGGGATGCTGTTGTTTCTGCACTATCTTGTACATTGCCAACGACAAGTTCATTGCCGAAAACCCAGACAAGATCAAAGCATTCTTGAAAGCAATTAAATCGGCCACCGATTTTATCTTGTCAAATCCTCAACAGGCTTGGGAGGAATATGGTAACTTCAAACCTCAAATGACATCCGAATTGAACAAAAAGAAATTTGAGAGATGTTTTGCCTACTTCTCCGACTCATTGTACAATGTTCATCGTGATTGGAACAAGGTCAACAACTATGGTAAGAGATTGGAAATCTTGCCAGAGGACTACAAGCCCAATTATACCAATGAGTTCTTGTCTTGGCCTGAACCTAAAGAAGTCGAAGACCCAACTAGGGCACAAGAGCTTATGCTCAAACACCAAGAGGAATGCAAAGCTTGTGGTGGTTACAGAAGATTGATTCTTACTGATGTTTAAGTAGTTGAGGATTCAATACACTTGGCTAGATTTGGAAATGTCACTTTTTATACTCTTTGTAAGTGTCGTAGACATTTTTATGTATGGGAAACTAAGTGAACTACTTGGAAAGATTACTGTTGCGTTGCTTTACGCTTCAATAAAGCTGGGTTTTGGATGACCTTTAGATTGGTATTATCGTAATGATTTGCAGCATTCTCTTGACAATATCTCGACTGCTATCTCAACTCTTTGCACATCTGATAATTTAAGAAATAAATTATGCTGCAAAAAGATCTACATACCGTACTACCAAAAGAAGAGCATTGACGGGATGTGATAAACACTAATAAGTAACTGCTCAGCAAACTGTTAATCGTTACTTGATATCTACTCCAATTAAAGGGAAAAAGAAAAACTCTCAACAGAAAAAAAAAATACAAAAAAAAAAAAAAAAATAAGAAAATTTTGTGAAGGCGTTGTTCAATCAAAAAAATAAAAAAAAAAAAAATGGTCCGAATTTTTCAGCACCCATAAAGATAAAGAACCTCTTGTCTTCTTAATCCAAAATCAAAACTCACCGTTAAAGGTATCACCCACGCAAGATGAATCCAGCTGTCACAAACATCGCTATCATGCTTATTGGTATGCAAGTTTCCAAGCAACTAGACTTGGAGGACCCAACCATTTTGTTCTACGTGAGGGCATTCTACATTTCATGCCAAGTCATCACCTTCCTCGTGTACTTTCTCGTCAGATTGAAGATCAACCAAAAGAATGACTTGACAACTATCAAATACGTTGAACCAGCTAACCCCATGAGCGGTGAAACTGAGCCAAGAGCCGTTGTTACCACTGTCAAGGAGTACGACTTACAACAAGTCAATAGTCAAGTCAAGGGTATCTTTACTGGTTTGGCCATGATGGGTTTCATGCACATTTACATGAAATACACCAACCCATTGATTATGCAAAGTGTCTCTGGTGTCAAGTCTGCTTTGGAATCAAACATTGTCAAGATCCACCTTTATGGATCTCCAGCCACTGGCGACTTGAAGAGACCATTCAAGACTGCTCCTGGATTTATGGAAATGTTGACTGGTGGTGCAGGTGTACAGACCGACAAGGCTTCTGTTGAAAGTGCCGAAGTCAGTGGTGCTGGTGGAATTAAACAGGATTAGAGATTAAAAAGAAATAAAAAGAGACTTTGGTATACACTTTGTATTTTTTTTTTTTTGACCCAACACAATCTATTATTCTATGTTTTATAATTTTGATGTACAATGATACATTCTTGCTCTTTACCACGTGTGAAGGAAATTAAGTCTAGTAGCTTACCAGCAATAATAAATTCAGCGACCGACCACTCTCCAGTTCCGTATATCTCGGGCACCGCTTTGGCTAAGTCAGGAATAATTGCATCATGTATTGGTTTAAAGTTTAAGACTTCTTGGGCTGAGATGTCTGTGACTTTTCTGAGATGCACGAATAGGTCGTGTATCCATTGGCATAGAATGTCGTCATTATAGTGGGGCTTATTGTAACAGCGGACCAACCATAAGAGCCAACATTGATCTTGGAATTCAGACTCCAAAATGGACTCATAAGAACCAAATCCTAAAAAGAGTAGCGATTGCTGAAACTTGATGTCGTTCTTGTAAACGCTTTTCAATGAAAGCAACTCAGATTTGTACTCACCAAGAATTTGCTTCTCTTGTCTCTTGATACCTTTAATCGCAGCTGCAAAGATTGCACTCTGTGATTCAATGTACCAACGGATATACTTGTGCTTGATTGTGTCACTAGGGACATTCAAAGTCAATATTCCCTTCTTTGTCTCGAATGCCGCTCTGAGATGGTTCAATCCAGCTAACTGCATTCGCAATGTAAATCCAGATTCCCACTGGTTCTGTACGAGGGCTTGAAATAATTGTATCAAGCTATTTGGAATTTGTTCTTGATTAATGTAGAAAAGCACTCCATCTCCTTGGTGCTCTTCCTCTGCACCAGAAGCCTGCTCAATCACGGAATTTGTATAATCGTTAATCGATGGTAACTCAATCCCCAAACCTTTAACCACATTCATCCTGGATTCTGGAATTTTTATCTTTAATGCAGCAGAGTCGGCGGGGTTGTTCTCTATGGCAAACCCATATGCTAACAACAACTCCTCGTTCCCCTTTTGGCCATAGTTGTTGAAGATTTCTTGACCTTGGTTGACATCCTTTGTTTGGAAAAGAAACCCAGTACCTGCGCGGCTCCATTCAACTTTAGCCTTTGGATTATGATTCAACAAATCAACAACCGGCAACAACATAGGCTCGTTCTTGGGGATGCTAGGATCAATAATGTATGCTGGGAAAGCTCTACTTTTAAGGATAAGCGACGCCCAAAGATAATTAGGAAAGCTGGTCCAGTTGTTGATATCAATCTCGCCGAAGTATTTATAATAGTCATCGTCATTGTAAAATTTGCTTTCATAATAAAACTTCATATTGACGAAATGCAGCTCTGGTTTCGCAACATTTTCCGGTAGGAGGTTGACTGCACTCCACCATTCTTCCACTAAAGAAGCGATATTTTCCCTTAGAGAGTTCCCCAAGTTGGTGCCTTTGAGGTACGCCTTGTCTTGGGATGACCAAGTGTATGGGGAGTCAATTGCCTGAAGTGTAGGTAGTGAGTTCAAGTACGGCTTGTAGAAGCTCTCTTGGGGTTGCAAATAACAAAGATATATTTTCAACAAGGAGACGTGATTTGCATTCTCGTATGCATCTTTAAACAATTCTGCCGCCTTGTCACAGGTGATTACCAACTCTTTTGGAATTTTTATGGACACTTCTCCAACGGACGTCAGGATAGCTCCATAATTACATGGACTGATTTCTTTGAATTCAATATTTGAGGAAATATTAGCACCGTTGTCATTGGCCCATTTGAGCAAACTATCTATGTTTTCCATGTCTGATGCTGTTGTTGGATGCTTCAATATAGAAGAGAATTTATTGCGAGAAGAGAAAAATCCACAACGTTCGGTGCCTACGAAACCCTTTTGCAAAAGTGCTACAAATGACCAGTACTGTTTGGTCAATGTAACCAATCTCTCTTATCTAGCCTCCTTAGTAAGTGGAATCACACGGAACAATTCTGTTTCTATGATACTGTCGATACTTCTATAAAAATCTGGTGATTTCTGAATTTACGAGTCGTGTAAAAATGCCATCGCTTGAACTGTATAAAAACTCTCACTAATTTCCTCAATTTTTCACTGCCATATATTACTCCCCCAATAAACCTACCCCAGATGTTGAGAAGCTCCCTCAGACAGAGTAATCTACTCCGAGCCACGCGTGTGCCATTTATAAGGCCATTCTCGTCGTCACTTTTAAAGTTGCAAGAGACTCCCAAGTCGAAGCCTCAAGATGACTCAAAGGTTGAAAATAAACCCAAAAGAAGGCCGTTGAGTAGAGTTGCAATTGGTGGATCAAAGGATTCCTTGAAACAGTTCAACAAGGGCAGTGGATTAGAATTTGCAACATGGAAAGCAGTGGTGATCCTCCTCGTGTTTGGTGGTATTGGTACATACTTTTTTCAACAAGAAAAAGCCAGACTACAACGTCACAAGGAAATGGAGCAGAATAGAAAAGTTGGAACTCCTCTAATTGGTGGTCCATTCAACTTGGTAGACGCAAATGGGAATCCTTTCACAGAGAAGAACCTTGTTGATCCCAAGGGGAAAAAGTTTTCAATATTGTATTTTGGATTCACCCATTGCCCTGATGTTTGTCCTGAAGAGCTTGACAAGTTGGGCGACATGTTGGAAATTCTCAAAAAGAACAACGTTGAGATTCAACCTATTTTCATAACTTGCGATCCAAACAGAGATACGCCTGAGGTCGTGGATATATACTTGAAGGACTTCCATCCAGACATTATTGGATTGACGGGAGATTACGAAGAGGTTAAGAATGCTTGCAAAAAGTACAGGGTTTATTTTTCAACACCGCCAGATGTCAAACCGGGCCAAGATTATCTCGTTGATCACTCCATCTTTTTCTACGTTTTGGATCCAGAGGGAAACTTTGTTGATGTTATAGGTAGAGAAGCATTGGCTCCTGAAAGTGCCTTGAAGATTACCGAACTTTCCGAAGCGTATATTCCAAAAGCGGAAAGAGAAGCTAAACAAAACGGATTGCTTGGATTTCTTTATAAATAGTTTGATTTTGAGTACTTGTAAATAGTTGAATGACGAATTGTTAGTAATGGTTCATGTATTTGCTCTTTAAAATTCAATCATGATTATATGAAAGTCGATTACAAGTAGCATGATTTGAAATGCAAAGAGATGTGATTTGCGCAGTTTGGGTGATGCTGCGATAAGACGGATATCACAATCGCATTTTTCAAACAGTACTAAAGCAACCAGCACTAAAGCAAACAGCATCAAAGCATACATGCCATTGATCATTTCACTACATCTACACTAGAGCTCGACACTCACCAATGGACAGATCTGTTAAAGTTGCCATCATTGGCGCCGGCGTCTCTGGATTAAAAGCAGCTGAAACTTTACTTTCATCTGGTACAATAAGCAAGGACGACATAGTTGTACTCGAAGCACAGGACCACTTCGGGGGTCGAATTCAAAACTCAGACGTATCTCAGTCGAAACTTGGAATTCCATATGCACTAGGCGCCTTATGGTTCCATGATTCTTTGGTGAACAGTGTGCTACATGAATTACTCGATTCTGGATTATTGAATGATGAAGATATCTACTACGACGACAAAGATGGACCAACGTATTCAAGCGAGGGACTATTGGATGTGTCAGGATTGAAATTGAACAGGGTAATGGAAGAGGCTAGTCAGTTTTTCGAGTTGTATTTCAAGGATAGATGCTCAGATGCGTCTTGTGATGAAGTCGTCAAGGAATATGTTAAGCGACATCTGCGGTTTCTCACGATAGAGCAACAGCAATACATTGGGAGATTAATGAGGTATTATGAACTTTGGTATGGAGTGCCGGCAGAGAAGGCGAGTGGGAGGGAAATCATTGATGGCCACATGGGCAGAAACTTGTTGAACAAAAAGAGCTACTGTTTTCTTCTCGACTTATTGAAGAAGAAGGTTCCCGATTCGTGCATTGCTCTAAACCAGGCAGTGAAATCCGTGACCCAATTGCTGGAGTCCGAGAAGAAAATAGAGTTGGAAACAAAGACAGGTCTAAAAGTCAAAGCTGACTTTGTAATTGTTACGGTACCTTTGTCCATTTTGAAATTGAAGGGAAGCGAAGAGTTTGGAATCAATTGGAGCCCACCATTACCACGCAGCACACAAGATTTCATAAACGGTCTAGACTTTGCCGCTTTAGGCAAGGTAGTTCTTGAATTCGATAATGTGTGGTGGGATATTAACGAGGATCACTTTTTGATAATTCCAGATGAAATTGATTCTAATGACCGGTTTAGGGCCGATGGTACACCGAAGCCGTTTGCGTTTCCTGCATTGGCTGTCAATTACTCTAAAATTTACAAAAAGGGTGGCAGCTTGGTGATTCTCACGCCGGCTCCATTAACCAATTTCTTGGAGTTGAATCCAGATCAGTCATGGAAATATTTCAAACCCGTACTAGAAAAGATTGCGGTAGAGCCGATTGAAGATCCTATAAATACAATTACTTCCAATTGGACACAGAACCCATACATCAGGGGATCTTATAGTGTATCACTTGCAAAACGGGGAAATGAAGATAACCATAAGAATGTGTTGGAGGAGTTACGGATTGGTAACGACGTTATCAGGTTTGCTGGTGAACACACTATTGTCGAAGGTGCTGGTTGCGTACATGGAGCTTATGACAGTGGAATCAGAGAAGCTACCTATGTTTTGAATGCAATGAAAAGTTGAGTTTTGAGTGTATGGGGTATCAAGACACTTTATATGTTGAAAAGGGTTTCCTCAATTGGTCATGGACATTTGAGTGTAGACTCTGCTACTCTCTGCACCTGCCACCGTTATCACACTCAGAATTTGTGATTCGATGCACATGAGTCATACATATATAAGGTAAGGATATTTGCCATCGGTTGCTGCAAATCTTTATAAAAATTGGTAGCTCTTAACAGTTTTTTCCGCCTCCTTCTCATCTTTTCCATTCCGCATCTCTTAATCACCACAACTTTCTTTCAAAGTAACTCAACGTCAATACTAACAAGTAGCAGCAACAATGTCGGAATTCATAGTAGGAGGGCAAAAGATTGACCCTGAGAAGACGGAGAACATGGAAGAGATTGAAATGCAGTTTGCCGTGAAGGCAGTGCATCAAGCCGAAACATACTGGTCATTATTGGAAAAAGTTCCTGGCTCTCAGTTGAGACTCACCAAGTATGACAATGAGATCTTCAACAAGTTGTTGGAAGATTTTCCCGAATTTAAGGAGAAATCCGCAGCAGCCTCTATAAACGAGGACGAGATGAAGTCAGCTCAAGGTAAAGCTAAATGGAGAAGCTTCATTGAGAGTTTTAGCGATATTGAAGAGTACAATTTCGGAACACTTTTAAGATTAAAGGCTGATGAGGAGTATGGTCAAGATACAACCATGTTTGCAGTAAGGATGCAGTTCTATGCTATTGAGATTGCTAGGAACAGGTATGGATTGAATGATTGGATCTATGAAAGTGCAAAGAAATGATTGTATTGCGCGCCAACCTCTGAGCAATTACAGTTCCATAGATTTTGTAAATTCTTTCTCTACAAAACACAATACACAACACAGTTCACTGCATACAACAGTACAAATAGTAGCTTCCTCTTGTACTACTACTACTACTACTACTACTACTACTACTTCCATCTTTCTTTTTGAGGCTATGCCACCACGATCTAACAGACCAATGAACTCTCAAACACAATGGAAGGATCAAGCAAGCAGTCTGTCGCCTCCTAATCTGAATGAACCTTCCTATACCCTTCCCGGGGTGATCAATTACCTTACATCTGAATTCACCAATTTGGAAAGGTTCAGAATCATGACCAATTTAGAAAAATCTGAGATGAAATACAAGATTATCCACTTGGAGGGGGAGATAAAGACTTTGAAATACGCAAACCAGAAACAACAAGCGAGGATAGAGAGTTTGGAGAAGGAGAACCAGCTCTTGAAGAGCAAAAGCAAGGAGACACTTGTTAAAGAAGTGCAAACCATCACGAGCACATCAACAGAACCAGATTTGGAATCGATTAAAAAATCTAGGATACAATTAGCGGATTCATCAAAGGAGATTATGACCTTGTTGAAGTCTTCGTCGACAAGACTAGGCGATATAGATTTGTCGGAGGAGAATCAGCGGGAGATTGAAGATATGATTGACAATAGCGCAGATGACTTTGTATTTGGGCGCGGTATGAATTCGCCAAAATCGCACATGATAGCCAAGTTTTTTGAAGACGATGTTAATTTTCGGAAAGATGAAGAAAGTGCAGACGAAGACAACCTTGAGCGTTCTATCACAAACGAGAGCGATGTGACAGTAATCGATAAGGAGGACGAAGAGGAAAATGCACCGAAAAGCGAAGTTAAAAACGAGGATGTATCACAAACCCGGTCGTTTGTTAATGATGGTGTTACGACGGTGCTTCGTATTGGTACAGACAAGGTAACTATTTCAACTTCTGGAAGTGAAAACACTACCGCCAGAGAAGTCAGTTTAAGCCATCCAGAGGATATCCGTAATGTGATTGCATTACCCAATGAGAGTTATCTTGTTATTGAAAACGATATCAAGTTGTTGGCAGATGGAAGTGACTTGAAAATATTGATACCCACGAAAAGCAGTTTTTCACAAATAAGCGGCAGTGCACTTATTGATATGTCCGTTTCTGGTGACAAGACCAATACATATGGCTTGGCGATCAGTGGGGTTTCGAATGGAACAAAATCATTCTTGTCAAAGGTATACCAAATCAGTTTCAATGGACAGGCTAAGCATAAAGAGATTGGCAGTTTTAATAGAAAATTTTTGACCAAAAACAAAGGAGGATCTGAAATCTCATTCGTTGGTTGGAGGTTTGAAAAAACCAAATCAGCCCCATCTTCGCCTAGCAAAAACGGGAACAAAAATGGCGCTGACCCGCGATTGGCACAGTACTATGTGGTGTTCCGAATTGGAGATGAAAATTACAAGGTCAATCTTTCTTTGAAACAGGTTGTAGCTATAGAAGATTAGAAGATTGAAGTGACCAACATTCCAACCGCAGTCGTTCTTTCTCTGTGTGTGTGTGTGTAGAGAGATATGTGCACATTATGTTCTGTGCTATTTTTGTGTCATGGAAAATTTTTCTAACTCTCCCTCGTGGTGCAAAAAGATCTGCCATCGCATCCAAAAAATCATAATCACATAGGTTATCTGCCTTCTTTCTCCTTTTTCCCAAACGCTGTCAACTATGTCCAAATCCTTTGACGATTTCGTAAAGCAGCAGCAAGCTCAACAAAAACCAAAGACATTTGGATACAGAAATGCCAATGCTGGCGGGCAGCAGTACAATTTCAACAATACATTTGTTCCTGGACAAAACCAGCAACAGCAGTACCAAGGATATCAACCTTACCAGGGTCAACAAACCCCAGGTCAACAGTTTCAAGGACAGCAATACCAGGGATACAATCAAAATAGATACTATAACAAGGGCTCCCCCAGTGCGCAGGGCTCATCCGTTGCATCACCCATTGACTCCCTTCCTACCAGTGGTAGAAGCACGCCCAATCCAAACGCCTCGACAACATCCTTGACTTCGTTGAACACAGCGCTCTCGAAGTTGAATGTTGATGTGCCATTCCGTGAAAATTTAACAAACATGGAAAGAGCAACTAAGATTGGCGAAGTTAAAACCGAAGTGAGTGCAGTCGTGACCCAAATCAGCGAGCAAAATGACTTATCCATCATCAATGAATGGAAATTGAATGACATATTAAAGTCCTTATTGAAGCCAAAAAACTCGCCATTGGTCAAAGAAGGAGCATTACTTATCATACAACACTTGGCAATCCAATTTGGCGGACAGACTCCAAAAGAGTCGCTCCTTTTGCAGTTCTTTGCGACGGCGTACGAGTTGTTTGCTGATAAGGACAAGAACGTGGTCAAGGCTGCCAAATCTGCAACTGATGCATTATTTGGAATCTATCCAGTTGAGGCATTGGGGTCAGTGGTTTTGGATGAGTATTTGTCCATCTTCAAATCAGGAGCAAAGTGGAATAGTAAAGTCGCTTCGTTAGAGAATTTCAACAAGATAATTGATACTGTACCTGCCGATGTCTTGGAGTTGAAATTTGTCGATGTGGTGCCTGTTTTGACTGATTTGTCAACCGATTTCAAACCTGAATTGGCAAAGTCAGGTTTGGCTACTTTGAAAAAGTTTGTTAAAATCTTGGACAATTTGGACTTGCAAAACAAGTATGATTTGATTGTTGAAACTTTAGCTGATCCAAAACAAGTACCAGAGTGCATCAAAAGTCTTTCTTCCGTAACCTTTGTCGCTGAAGTTACTGAGCCTGCATTGTCCTTGCTCGTTCCTATCTTGGACAAGTCATTAAAAATGTCGTCATCTTCAAATGAACAATTGAGGCAGACTGTTATGGTGACTGAAAACTTGACAAGATTGGTCAACAATAAGAGAGAAATTGAGACATTTATTCCAATTCTTTTGCCTGGTGTTGAAAAAGTTGTCAACAATGCTTCGTTGCCGGAAGTTAGAGAATTGGCCGACAAGGCATTTAAAGTGTTGAAGGATGCAGAGGCTGAGCAAACTGATGGTAAGTTCCATGGTAGAATCAGCTTGAAAGAAGCAGAGGGTTTTTACACTGAAAATCTTCCCGAAGGCGTAGAAGCTCCGTCTTGTGTCAATAGCAATTACTTGGAGTATCTTGGTAGAGTACTTCAAGTGGATGCACACGTCAATGATTGGAAGAGATTGTTGGAATACTTGACGATGCTTTCAAAGGATGACAAGTACGCTCAAGCAGTCATTGCCAATGTCAAACATTTGTTTAACCCGGAATCGACTCTGGATGGTGCAAATGATGACGGATCAATTGAAATAGTCAATGCGGATTTCTCCTTGGCGTATGGTTCTCGTATGTTGTTGAACAAAACAAACTTGAGACTTTTGAAAGGACACAGATACGGATTATGTGGAAGAAATGGTGCTGGTAAATCAACATTGATGAGAGCTATCTCTAAAGGTCAGTTGGAAGGGTTCCCCTCCGCCGACGAATTAAAGACTTGCTTTGTGGAGCACAGATTGCAAGGATCTGAAGCAGATATGGACTTGGTTAGTTTCATCGCGTCCGACCCTGAATTGGCCAATGTCGAAAAGAGTGAAATCAAGTCAGCATTGTTTGATGTTGGGTTTTCAGAGGAAACTTTGTTGAAGAATGTGGGGTCTTTGTCTGGTGGTTGGAAAATGAAATTGGAATTGGCTAGAGCAATGTTGATGCATGCGGATGTCTTATTATTGGACGAACCTACAAACCATTTGGATGTTGGAAATGTCAAATGGTTGGAACAGTATCTTGTTGATCATACCGAAATCACTTCCTTAATTGTCTCACATGACTCTGGATTCCTTGATGCTGTATGTACCGATATCATCCATTACGAAAACAAAAAATTGGCATACTACAAGGGGAACTTGTCCGAATTTGTCAAGGTGAAACCGGAGGGGAAATCCTACTACACTTTGACAGATTCAAATGTCAAAATGGCTTTCCCACCACCCGGTATTCTTACTGGTGTCAAATCAAACACAAGATCAGTTGCTCGTATGTCGAATGTGACATTCACCTACCCTGGAGCTTCCAAGCCATCATTAAACAATGTCTCGTGCTCGTTGTCATTATCTTCGAGAGTTGCCATTGTCGGGCCCAACGGTGCTGGTAAATCTACATTGATCAAGTTGCTCACAGGTGAGTTGATTCCAGCTGAGGGTAAGGTTGAAAAGCACCCAAACTTGAGAATTGGATACATTGCACAACACGCCTTGCAACATGTTGAGCAGCATAAAGAGAAAACCGCCAATCAGTACTTACAATGGCGTTATAGATTTGGTGATGATCGAGAGGTTTTGTTAAAAGAATCAAGAAAGATTTCAGATGAGGAGAAAGCAATGATGGAAAAGGAAATTGATATTGGAGATGGAAGGGGAAAAAGACAGGTTGAGGCAATTGTTGGTAGACAAAAGTTGAAGAAATCTTTCCAGTATGAAGTCAAGTGGAAGTATTGGTTACCAAAGTACAATTCTTGGGTTCCTAGAGACACATTGTTGGAAGAAGGATTTGACAAGCTTATACAAAAGTTTGATGATCACGAAGCTTCAAGAGAAGGGTTGGGTTACAGAGAATTGAGTCCTAAAGTTATTCGTAAACATTTCGAGGATGTGGGATTGGATGGAGATATTGCCGATCATACGCCAATGGGATCGTTATCTGGAGGTCAATTGGTCAAAGTGGTCATTGCCGGTGCCATGTGGAACAACCCCCATTTGTTAGTCTTGGACGAACCTACAAACTATCTAGACCGTGACTCATTGGGAGGTTTGGCCATTGCCATTAGGGAATGGTCAGGGGGTGTGGTTATGATTTCGCACAACAATGAATTTGTAGGAGCCTTGTGTCCTGAACAATGGCACGTTGAAAATGGACAGGTTATACAAAAGGGAACTGTTGCTGTTGACACGCAAAGATTTGAAGATGGAGGAAATGAATCTGCTGAGGGATCGCCAGCTCCTGAAATTAAGAAACGCGCTGATGATGATGATTCGCCTGCAAATATTAAAGTTAGAACTAGAAAGAAGAAGATGACTAGAAATGAAAAGAAGGCCCAGGCTGAGAGAAGAAGATTGAGGTATATTGAATGGTTGAGCTCACCTAAAGGTACACCAAAGCCAGTGGATACTGATGATGAAGAAGAGTAGTTTCGAAAACTAATTATATAGAGATTGAAGTTGTTATAGATTTTATTTGGACTTTGTTTCATGCAAACACCTGATAGCTAACCTCTCAAAGTATCTCGGAGGCGGTATGTGTGCTTCTCCTTACACTGGAGCCCCATAAAACATTTGTCGTGTATGAAGCTAAAAAAAAATAAACAGTGATAGTGCGAAACTGCTCTGAAGGCGAATTGGCACTTGAAAAAAAAAAAAAAAACAGACTACCAGAGTACAAGGACTAACGAAGACAAATATAGTCCCCACGACATCCCAATTGCAATGGCTGACAGATACTCGTTCTCGTTAACAACATTCTCACCAAGGTATGTACTGCAGAGCTATAGTTTGCAATCGAATTAAGGAGTAATGAGTCTTTTGCCCTTTATTTCGACGACGGCAAAAATGCCAATACTAACAAACATTGTAGTGGTAAATTAGTGCAAATAGAGTATGCGCTTAATGCCGTCAAACAAGGTGTTACCACAATTGGTATCAAATGTGACAATGGGGTAGTCTTGGCCACTGAACGTAAATCGAATTCGGTGCTCAACAAATCGGATGTCAATAACAAAGTCGAATATATAACTCCCAACATTGGAATGACATATAGTGGAATGGGACCAGATTTCCGGGTGTTGGTAGACAAGGCACGTAAGTTGGCACAAACAAACTACAAGCTAATTTACAACGAGTATCCACCTGTACGTATTATGGTTCAAGAGATTGCCAAAGTTATGCAAGAAAGTACACAATCGGGAGGTATAAGACCATTTGGTGTTTCACTATTGGTTGGTGGGTACGATGAATTCTCAGAGAAGTTTCAGTTGTACCAAGTTGATCCCAGTGGTTCATATTTCCCATGGAAGGCGACTGCGATAGGGAAGACTGCAAATAGTGCAAAGACTTTTCTTGAAAAGAGATGGAATGAGAATTTACAGTTGGAAGACGCTATTCATGTATCGCTTTTAGCGTTGAAGGAAAGTGTTGATGGAGAGTTGATTGGTGATAATTTGGATATTGCTGTTATTAGTGATCCACAAGAACAGTTGTTGGGCTTCAAAGGTACCAATGTCGAAGGTCCAAGGTTTAAAAAGTTGAGTGCTGATGAGATTAATGATATTTTAGACTCGTTGTAGGTGGCGAAAGAATAAGATGAAAGTAGTTAGAGCTTGAACTTGCGTTGTGGAATGAAAGTGTAGACATTGTTTGAACTGATAGTCAAGGCTATTCTGGTTAGCAGTGGATTGACTAGAGCCCACCCACCATACCCTCATTTATGAACACGCAGCTCTGTGTTGTAACACCATCCACATTGAGTGCTCTTATCGTACTCGGTTCTACTCTTTCTGTAGAGTTTACACAAAAGTGAACTTACGCAGAAAAAAAAAAAAAAATTCATTCAGTGTAAAGTCATCTCTCTCCCTCATCTAGAATTTACCACCACTTCATATTACGATTCCACAATCATGGCAAAGAAGAGCAAAGGAGTGAAAAAGAGTGGTAAGAACAGAAGCTCGAGAAAGATTATCGATGCATATCAAATTGCAGAAAGACAAGAGAATCAAAGTCACCCTCGCGATTTCGATGAATCAGACAATGATGTTCCTTTTGAGGAGGGGATTCTAGATGCAAGAAAGTTCTTAAACGATGGGCAACAAAACGAAGACTTGTTAGATGAAGAGATTGATTCTGATGAAGCGTTGGCGAGTGATGATGATTACGATGTTTTAAATAGCAAGTTTTCCCAAACGATACGAGACAAAGCCAAGAGAAAGAAAATAGGTCAAGACAGCGATAGCGATGAAGAGAGTGAGATTGACGTTGATGATGATGCGGCATACGATAGCATTGATGAAGGCCAGTTAGTTACATTGTCGGAAGCTTGGGATATGGATGACCGCGATCTTGCTCAGGTTAAAGGAAGCAAAGAATCAAAAGAGTTGGTGCTTAATGATGAGTGGGAGTCTGAGAGCTCATCCAGTGGTGAAGAAGAGGACAATGAAGGCGACGATGACGACGAAGAAGACGAAGGAGTAGAGGAAGATTGGGGTGATACAACTAAAGTCTCATCATCTGATCTGGAGCCTGAATCCGAAGAAGGGGACTCTGAAGAAGAAGAAGAAGAAGAAGACATATTTGCTCACGAATCAGGCGATGAAGATGGCGAGGTTGATCTTGTAAAGACCACAGGAATGTTGGAAAAGGAACTTGAATTGGCAAAGCCCAAGGAGCGCAAAAAGTTTATCGCCGAAACTCGTTCTGAGAATGAGTTCAGCGTCCCATCAAATGGTCAAAAATTGTCATTAACAGACATGATGAAGGGTGTCAGTGGTGTTGATAACATCCTCATTGATCAGAATGCGAAAGCGGTAGCTACTCCGTTACCCAAGCGTATTCAACAGAGAAATGATCGTGGAGCAGCTTATGAATTAGCCAAGAAGGAAGTGAGTAAATGGAGTGATACCGTACAGCAAAATAGGCAAGCTGAGGTACTCAAATTTCCCATGCAACAGCCAGATCAAATAAATGACTCTGCATTGACGTTTAGAGCAGACAATCATGCACCTACAACAGCATTGGAGAAAAAGGTTAATGATTTACTTACGCGGTCGGCGTTGGTTGATGATAAGAAGGAAGCCACATTTGAAGAAATTGCCATGGCTAAGATGTCACCTGAGGAATTGCGCAAGCGTACCAACGAATTGAGACTTATGAGAGAATTGATGTTTAGAGATGAACGTAGAGCCAAGAGGTTGAAAAAGATCAAGTCCAAACAATACCACAAAATCAAGAAACGGGAAAGATTGAGAAACCAGGAATTGGGTGATGAGGCGGAGGATGCGGATGACGCTGAAGAAGATCGCGATATGGAAAGAGCCAAGGAGAGAATGAGTTTGAAACACAAGACTGGGCTGAAATGGGCCCAGTCTATGATAAAGAGTGGATTGTCAAAAGATGCCTCGAATAGAGAAGAGTTGGAAGAGATGTTGAGGCAGGGTGAACGATTGCGGGAAAAGCAATTGGGGAGAAAAGGTGGCGAAGGTGATGACGACGACGATGAGGGAATTTACAGCGATGATAACTTGGATCGACTCGAACGTGAGTATGCAAAAGATGTTGAAGGGGTGGATAGAAGCAAGATTGGTAAAGGTGTGATGGCGATGGATTTCATGAAGAATGCCGAAAAGAGGAAAAAAGAAGAAAACTTAAAACAGATTGAGCAGTTGAGACGATTAGAAAATGGTGAGAATACGGGACTTGATTTATTTGAGGAGGATAATGGTTTGGTTAATGTCAAGAAGAATACAGGGAGACGAGTTTACAATGCAGCAGCTATTGATGACACTGATTTGAATGAAGAAATTAGGCAAGAAGTTGACGATGATAATGCTAAGTCATTGGATGCAAAGATTGGCACTGTGAGGGTTGTTGAGCAAGAAAGAACGGAACGCAAACCTGAAGAGGCTGCCGAAATTGAAAAGGTTGTTGTTGACGAAACGAATCCTTGGCTCGCGTCGTCTACATCTGTTATCAACAATGAGCCTCGCCAAAAATCAAGTAAAATCAACACTTTGATTGATGAAAACTCATCGAAACTTGCTAAAGCTGCTGCAAAAATTGCCAAACGTAAACAAAAGCAACATAATGACACAGAATCTTTAATTGACGTCAACAAGACATTAGCCATTTCTGATGTTCATAACGACAACGATTCCGACGAAGGCGAACCCATCGATACTGATTCAGTACCTACAATGTTTAAGCAAAAGGATTTAATCAAAGAAGCATTCGTTGGTGATGACGTTGTTAGTGAGTTCCAACTGGAAAAGAAACGAATGATAGAGGACGAAGACGACAGGGAGGAAGATGTAACTTTACCAGGATGGGGTGATTGGGCTGGTGGGTCTTCCAAAAACAACAAGAACAAGAAACGTAAATTTGTCCGCAAGATCGATGGTGTTGCACAACGTGATAAACGTAAAGACAAGAATCTATCCAATGTTATTATAAACGAAAAATTGAACAAGAAAATACTCAAATATCAATCGCTGGATGTTCCTTATCCTTTCGAAACTAGAGAACAATACGAGCGGTCATTACGAATGCCATTGGGCCAGGAATGGACGAGTCGAGAAACACACCAGAAATTAACCATGCCTAGAGTCATTACCAAACAAGGTGTTGTTATTGATCCATTAAAAGCTCCATTTAAGTAGACAGTGTTTAGGGATATAATATTAATTTATGGGACGCCTAATCCAATAAAATACCATTTCTATCAGCCCAAGTTTTTCCCGAAAGGAAAACACCCTCAGGATCAGTAGACTTGCGAACTTTATTAAATTCAACAAGATCCTGTCCAAACCAATCTCGCATCAACTTCTTGAAACCAATCATTGAGTAAAATGGTTTCCCACCAAATTCCAATTGTTGTTTGACATCAATGGCAGCTTCATTCTCATCTTGTTTCTCTTCCCTCACGCCAATGAAATTCTTGGCCCAGTGTGGTTTCCCATCCGCTTTGATTAAAATATCCTCGAAACTTTGATACCATTGATGAGTACTTACATTTGTGCCAAATGGTCGATACATTGTTGCATTTATAAACAACGTCAATTCGTCATTGGTGGGGTGGGAGTTGGTTGGTTTGTGACGTAATCGTGGGGAATTATCTAAGAATGGACGGAAATTGTTTCCTGGTATTGGTCCAGCACTCGTTTTTGAACGTTTTGATAACCAAGACTGAGAGGGATATAATGACTCGTGGCCCTCATCATCAACAAAAGGTTCATTGCATTGAGTCACGTTGGAGCAACGTACCTCAATTGGCGCATGAACATAAAACTCATCTGCTGCTGCAGCTTGTTGAATAACTTGTTTCAATTGATTTAAAACATCGACTCCATTAACTAAGGGTGCTGACCACTCATTCACAAATTGCGAAAACAAACAATCCATATTCAACGCTTCAACTGAGTTTTGCACTGCTATATCACCAGAACCTAGGGTTTCAACTTTTCCATATTGTTGTTCAAATACAAACTTCTCAATATAGGGAGTCAACTTAGGCAACAAGTGAACAGAAGCCCAAAGTAACGATTCGTAGAAAAAACGACCAAATGCGGTTCCATACCATGATTGCCTGGGTACCGAGATTGGATCATTTGACTTGTTGGCTCTCCAAAGAACACATTTATCAGTGTAGGGGAACCACCAAACACGAATGAATTCCGAATCCAACCATATTGTGTCCCATTGCGATATCAAGGTATCAAAGTGAATAATCTCTTGAATTGATTTAATGGTGTATCGAGGACATGTACGCAAGGTGACATGGGTAATAATTCCGATTTTACCCAATGATAAAAGGATCGCTTTGAAATAATTGGGTTTATCAATTGAGGAGCAAGTTATTGATTCGCCAGCAGAGTTCAAAAACGTGATTGAGACTACTTGTTGCGACACCAACCCGTGATAAGGAGTCGAGCCATGTGTACCCGTTGATATCAACCCAGCGATGGATTGATCACTGATTGAACCAAGGTTCTGAATAGCCAATTCATGCTTTTTCAAATACTCATTCAATTCAAAAACCCGACATCCTGCTTCAACAGTTAAATCAACAAACTTGACCTCCTTTTCAGGGCTATTATCCAGTATGGGTCCCCAATGTTCCTCTTGATGCAACACATGATTAAACTTGTCCAAATTACACAACCATTCTTTAGTCATGGTCAAGTCACTTGGAGAATGGCCAGACCCCACAGTCATGATAGTTTTGTGGTGCAATTTGGCTTGTTTGATCAATTCCTTGATTTCATCAACATTGCGAGGTTGGAAGATGGCTTGTGGCTGACAGTAAAATGTACCCGCCCATGTCTTGTGAATGAATTTGTTGGTGGTGAACGGTTTCAACAACTCGGGTATTTCGCCACCTCTTGAATTTGCTGTGGAAATCATTGAGTAAATAGTAGTCGGTGCAGACTGGTAGAAAATTGTAGGTCTCTGGTTTGAAGAAAGTGATTTATCATCTTCAGTAGGAGAAAGTGTGGTGTCGTGAACATGCATTTCGCGACACTCAACACTTCTCCCGGAGAAGCAAAGGCCGAACGTATTAACTAAAAACTCACAAGCTTGTCCTTCCTTTCGCATTAGAGTAACACTGTTTAAGAGTAGCTACTAGTATTTCTTTTACATTTCATGGGCAGAAACCCTTAGCATCCCATTCACTCTCGGTATAAGTCCATTGTAACGTTGCCATCTCTTGCTTCAGAGATCCATCCGGTTTTTCGGGATTTGCTTCTCTTTTTCACACTTGGTTTTTTAATTAGTGGTTGCTCTTTCACAACAGTGGCGTGAGACTGAGGGGCACGTACATGAGTGAGGCGGCTACACAGCATGAATCTATCTGAGTCCCAAGAAGCTGGTGTTGCTTCTGTGGTCTTAAACCGACGTGTGCGTAAAAAGTTGTAAATGTATCACCAGTGTCGTATAATATTGGTTTACGCGACACGGAATATTTGATTTTAACGACACGCGGCATCTAACGATATTTTATATATGTGCTTGGATTATGTAATATGAAACATACACACACACACTCGCTCAACTGTCGTATAGAGATATCGAGAAAATGATACTATACACACACACACACACATGAAGTAATGTCTTAGATTTGGGTTTTGCTATTTTCCATACTAGAGGACACAGATTCGTTCCATATGCTGCGTTGGAAGTGCCCATTCCAGATAGACTCTCTGCTACTCTCCTTGATGGTTGGGCCTCTCTCTCTCTCTCTCTCTCTCTCTCTCTCTCTCTCTCTCTCTCTCTCTGTATAACCATTACACGTCTGAGTTGTCTCTTTATTTATGTTTATGTATTATATGCAGGACTATCGTTTAGCACAAATTTTTCAACACACACACACACAGTTTTGCATACCACTTTCTTCTTCTTCTTCTTCTTGTAAAAATATCATTCACCACTTAAACTACCTTCTTTCAACACTCACACTCACTTCCACATTTGCTATATCATGACCAAGTCTCCTCAAAATATCGGTATCAAAGGTATCGAAGTATACATCCCAGGTCAAGCTGTCAATCAAGCAGAATTGGAAAAATTCGATGGCATTCCTCAAGGTAAATACACCATTGGATTGGGACAAACCAACATGGCATTTGTCAACGACACTGAAGACATCTACTCTATCAGTTTAACAGTATTGTCCAAATTGCTTTCTCACTACTCCATCAACACTGACCATATCGGTAGATTAGAAGTTGGTACTGAAACATTATTGGATAAATCCAAATCTGTCAAATCGGTATTGATGCAGTTATTTGGCGACAATTCCGATATTGAAGGTGTTGATACGGTGAATGCGTGCTATGGGGGTACTTCAGCTGTGATTAATGCTGTCAATTGGATTGAAAGTTCAAGTTGGGATGGAAGAGACGCCATTGTTGTTGCTGGTGACATTGCTATTTACGATAAAGGAGCAGCCAGACCAACTGGTGGTGTCGGAGCCGTTGCGTTGTGGATTGGTCCTGATGCACCTATTGTCTTTGATTCCATTAGAGGGTCATTTATGGAACACGCTTATGACTTTTACAAGCCTGATTTCACTAGTGAATACCCAACTGTTGATGGTCATTTCTCATTGAGCTGTTATGTTAAAGCTATTGATAACTGTTACAAGAATTACTCACGCAAGTTAACTGGTGATAAAAACAAGACGGTTGGCCTCTATGACCACTTTGATTACAATGCATTCCATGTCCCCACTTGTAAATTAGTCACAAAGAGTTATGCCAGGTTATTGTATAATGACTACAAGTCAACCCCAGAAAAGTTTACTGATTTAATTGATGAGCAAACCAGAAAACACATTGATGCATTATCCTATGAAGATTCATTAACTGATAAAGTCTTGGAAAAGACATTTGTCACATTGGCCAAAGACCAAACTAAAGCTCGTGTTGAACCTGCATTGAGGGTCCCTACAAACACCGGTAACATGTACACAGCATCAGCTTGGGCATCGCTTGCATCAACCATTTACTACACCACCAAGAATGGTGAAAATTTGCAAAACAAGAGAATTGGAATTTTCTCCTATGGTTCAGGATTGGCATCAACTTTATTGTCAGTGGTTATAAAGGGAGATGTCTCTAAAATCACCGAGGTGTTGAACTTTGATTACAAGTTGGGAGAAGGACGTAAGATTGAATCTCCACAAGCTTATGTCGATGCAATTGGATTGAGAGAAGATGCGCATTTGCAAAAGAGTTTCAAACCAAAGGGGTCAATTGATAATTTGCCAGTTGGAACTTATTATTTATTGGAGGTTGATGACAAGTATAGAAGGAAGTATGGTGTTAAAGAGTAAAAAAAGAAAAAGAAAAAGAAGTGCTGAAGCGACTGTGTCTTTTGCTATTGAATTGTCAATGTGATGGAATGTAATTATGTATGTTGTATAAGCATTGAAGGTAATGTACTTCTAATTCCAATCAAACGTGATGGTTGTGGCAATCTTTAGATGGTTAATAGTGTAAATTGTATACGACATTGACAAAGTAGATAAAGTTTATACATTTCAAAGTTGAGAAATGCTTGATGGATCTGCATGAAATGGTCAGTGTTGGGTGTTGTGAGGTGTGTGGGATCCGTATCTTCATACTCGTGCATCTCCAAAGTCTCATTAAGACTGCTAAGTATGCCCCTATTTATTCTCATTTTAAATTTAGTCACCGCAAACCACAATCTGCTTGTCCAGTCTTGCAAAACAGGACATTTTCTCACCAAATAAACTTTACACAACCGATATTCGAATGCTAGCAATTGGGCTACATTGTAAATGAGCTTGATCTGAAATCTTAGGTGACATTTGGTCCTCTCCCATCTGATATGTAACCGTCGTTGATAGTTTATTTGCAATAGAACACCGCCAAGTTTTGATATACTGCCTTTTGTGAATGGATGATGGTTAGGAGAAGAATGAGTAGATATGATGGCAGGCTTCTTGAAACGGCAAATCAAAGACGATGTTAGCTTTTCGAGATTTAGTATCCTGTGCAAGCTCTCCCATGTGGATACATACTCTTGATGAGGGTCTGTTCTGTTTGTAAATGGATCAACCTCTTTTTGAAGTAAGATTGGTGTACTCTGGCGCTCTAGAACCGTTTGCTGGCTCTCCATTTTCTTATCTTTACTGAACTCTTTCCTTCTCGTGGCAAGTATTCCTCTGACTTGCATCTTGCTCCACATTATTTTACGTGATACCTTCTTCCTGAAATATTTTACTGTTTGTTTCAACTGTCGTTTCTGTTCCAAGTGCTTTCTTTCCTTTTCCATTTGTCTTGCCTGCTCCATATCTTCTTGCTTCTTTTTGTCGTGATATAGTCGGATCCAATGCCTTTCATTTTTTCTATACCGTTTCACCAGTCTTGTGTATGCCTTCGTTTGATCCTGCTGTATCTTGATTTTTAGACCGTTTAATTGACTTAGATGCTCTTGGTATGATTCTTGGTCTGCTTGTAGTAGTCGCATTGAATATCCCCTTTCCTCTTCATCTATGTATCCTTGGTTTTCTTGAGCATGGTCTTCTTCATTTGTTACTTCGGACTCCTTCAATGATCTGAGAGTAGTGTATGGTTTCAGGGACACCCATTGGGGACTGATAGTATGACCACAACTCAAATAATTGAACATAACATCTTCCTCAAGCTTCAATTTGAAAAATAATTGTGCGTAACCATGAGACATCCCATTATCGTATAAATACGCGATATTCCTTCCTCGTTTTCGAAAGCAGGGCGGTGATTGCTTTTTGATAAGAGATTTTTGTGGCAGACAATGTCGGCTTTGTTACAGTTGGGTGTGGATTGAATACTCTACTTCAGATGTCTCCGTCGAAAATGTTCGAAGGATCATGAAAAGAAAGTATTTTTCATCTGTTGTACATCTTTTTTTTTTTCATTGGGTGTTCTGATCTTCTACAACGGGATAGAAGTCTGAGAGAATGGCTGTATCGATCAATCATTAGTCAGCAAAGAGAATAGAGAAGGCGAGTGGAGGACAATGACGTACGTGTCACAAATGAAAATAGTGTCGGTCATCTGTATAATATAACTGTCAAAGCTAAAAGAACACACTCTTCTTACTATCTATATGCAGATTTATGACGAGGGCCAAGTATTCTGTGAAAAAGTCAGCTTTACTTATTTTCTGAATGTCAGAGTAAGTTCAAGGAAGGAATAAGCACTGGAGAATATTATTTTGTGGTCTGTTTGGGTGCAAAAAGTTTGACAAAAAAAAAAAGGAAAAAAGGGCAGAAAAAAAAAAAATCGGTCTGTTTGTATGGCACATGACGTACGATATAAACTGAAAGACAGAAAACAAGAGTATTCTGTTATGCTACAGGAGTATCCCCCTGTTTTAAGTACAGCAGTTGATCACTAGAACTATTTGACAGAGATTTTGAAGTCACTTTTGTATTTCAAGAGCAATTGGTAGCAATGCATGAATACGTCGCACCAGCCACAGTCCTAAGTTTAGAATCTGAAATGGCCGTGCTCTTACTTGAAAATTGAGCGCAAGTGGTTTCCTCTGATAAGATTTAACATCAATAAATACCAGCTCACTGAAATACAAAAATCACACCCTTCATTTCACAGCCCAAAGTAAACTGTCATAAATTGTGTTTCATCATCTTGTGAAATTAAATCACGTGGACCAAAATTTTACGACATGTCACAAAAATCAAGATCATATAGAGAGCATTTTTTGGGTTGCTATGGATAAAAGAAAAAAAAAACACGATTGAAAGTAGAGTAATTTCCGACATCAATCAAGACGGGACTGTATCTGGAGTGTTATAGTTATATCAGTCGCATCTTGTGAAATGATCACACTCTACTTCTACTGTACATCAGTCATATGTTTTTCTTTAGTCTTCCATCTATAAACTGTGTATGCATAAAACGTATAACCTCCTCAAAGTAAAATGGTTGCTACCAATTCCACAATTTGATTTTAAAGTTGCTACTACAATGACCCCTCCTCATCATTTGATATATCTATAAATACCTCCTCGAATAATTTAAATTACTCTTCTACATAGTTTATCAAATCACAAGATCACACCCAACTTCTTTCACCTCACCCCCCCCCCCCCCTTTACCTTTTTTTGTATTACTTGTCCTTTTTCTTTCCCCCTCCCCCCCCCCCCCCCAATGAGATTCATTTGGTTAGCGTGCATCTTTATTCAATTGGTTCAGGCCAACTATGGCTTTGAAGAATGGAGCAACAATGATTTGAAACAGTTTTTACAAGACAACAAAGTCAAGCAAGACCCAAGTTGGGATAATGCAAAATTGATTGAAGTTGCCAATATTGAGGCCAAGAAATTGGAAAACGGTTACAACAAATTAAAGAGTGAATTGGACAAGCAATTGAAACCAAAAAGAAACAATTTGGAAGATTATTTGAGCTTTAGTTACTTGTTTGGCTCTTCAAAGGATAAGAAGCCAATTCTGGATTGGTTTTTCGAAAGTTGGGATTTCGAGTCATTGAGCAAGTTTTTGAAGCATCATGGCATCAAAGTAGATGAAAAGGCAAACAGGAGTGACTTGTTGAAGTCTCTCAAGAGCAAGTTTGGCTCAATTGCCAAGAAGAATAAAGGTTCCAATTTCTATCCTGGTGATTGGTTGTATGAATCTTGGTCCGATGACGACTTGAAGAAGTGGTTAAACAACTACAATATTGAATTTGATAAAGCTGCTTCAAAGAGCAGCTTGATTGAAAAAGTCAAAGAGTACAACTACAAAGCTACCAATGATATCATTGATACCAAGGATGCCTTGTTTGATTCATTGGACTTATTTGACAAATCTATTTTCGACAGAAGTGGACAAATTAGAGACGAATTTTTTGAATCTTGGTCTTATTCGCAATTGCGTGAATGGTTGTACTTGCATGGTTTCATCAACACCAAGCCAGATGTATGGGTTGGTGATTTAGATAAGGAAACTTTGATTAAAAAGGCTCAAAGTTACAAAAGCTATCTTCTTGATGATATCCAAACTTGGTTACAACATGCTGAGAAAAAGAGTGAGCCTTGGTTATCCAAAGGGGAACTGGGAAAAGGTGGTAGAGGAGCCAAGAACTTGATCAATGATACATTTTTTGTTGGAATTGAAAACTGGTCCAAAGATAAGTTGCGCGAGTTTTTAAATGTACGTAAAGTGCCATACTCCATCTTTACCACGAGAAAGCAATTGGTTGATTTGGTTAAAGAGCATAGAGGTGATCCAATTCACGTCGAGGCCGATGCCTATATTATTGATAACGATATCTCCACCAATTCGATTAAGGAATGGTTGCGTGAACAAGGCCAAAGTGTTGAAGGATCAAGACAGGATTTGATTGCTGCTTTCCAAAAACAATTCAAGAGTCATGGCTCTGGTAAGGAAAACATTGATTCACAAATCAGGTTGCACAAACCAGATTTGGAAAGTTTCAAGCACTACTTGACCAGAAATGTTGTTGATGCCGAATCTGTTGATGAAGGCAAATTGAAGAAGGCATTCATCATTGTTGAAGAGTATTTTCAAAAGGCGGTTGAGGTTGCTCGTGATGAGTTGAAAGAAGCAGAATACTCTGTCGAAGAAGCCTTGCAAGAAATACAAACCCAAAGTTACGAATACGCTGGTCGCTTTTTGAATGAGATCAGCGACGATGCAGAAAAGTTCTCAAACTTGGTTTATGATGCAAAATTGGCTAGTAATCAATATGCTCGATCAACGATTGGATCGTTAATTAAAGATTGGAAAAAGGTACAGCAATCATTACTTGGCGGCCAAGGCAAAGGGTCTTCCTCTTCATCATCCTGGTTCAGCAAAGGCAAGAAGGAGGTAAACAACGGCGGGCAAGCAGTTTTGGACAATGCCAACGATCAATACCAAGCTTTGGCTCAAAAGTATGACGAGTATGCTCAACACGCCAAGGACTTGTATGATGAGTACTTAACCAATGCAGGTGACTCGGTTGATGATGCAACCAAGAAAGCTGGTAAGAAATATGAAGAGTTAGCCAAGGATGCAAACTACAAATATGATCAATACAAGAAACTCTATGGCAAACAAGCTGATGCTGTTGCTGAAGCTGCAGGAAAGAATTATGAACGTGCTGTTCAAGAAGCCAACAAACAATATGATGCATATTCCAAATTGATTAGTACTAATTTGGAATCTTTACTCGGAACTGCTGGCAAGCTGTATGAATCTGCAGCTGCTGAAGCTAGCAAGAAGTACGACGAATATGCTGCTGTTGCTGGTGATGCTACTGATAATGCCAAGAAGGAAGCTGGAAAACAATATGAATTGGCATCAGCAGAAGCAGCAAAGAGATATGAGGAGTACAAGAAATTGGCTGATAAAAAATATCAAGGATTGTCGAAGCTTGCTAACAAGCAGTTCTCAGAGTACTCCAAGTCGGCAAACAAGAAGGCTAATGAATTGTCAGCGGAAGCTGCCAAGCAATACGAAGAAGCTGTCAAAGCAGCTAACGCCAAGTACGATGAATATAGTAAACTTGCCGGTCAAAAGTATGATGAATGGTCCAAACAAGCTTCATCTAAAGCTGGTGATTTGTACAAAGAGGCTGGTAAACAGTACGAAGCTGCTGCAAAAGACGCTCTGGAGAAATATACCAAGTACTCATCTGCACTTGGAGCTTGGGCTAGTGATGTTGGGGCCAAAGCTAAGGTCAAGTATGATCAATACTCGGACGATTTGAGCAAACAGGCTTACGAGCAATATCAAGTGGCGTCAAAAGATGCTGCTAAGAGATATGACGAGTTTTACAAATTGACTGGTAAAAAGTATGACGAGTATTCTGAAGAGGCATTGAAGGCATTGGACAAGGCTTCCAAAGAGGCCGCTAAACAGTATGCCGCCGCTTCAAAAGATGCTGGTAAGAAGTACGATGAATATTCCAAATTAGCTGGAGACTTGGCTGTTGAGTATGGACAAAAGGCTAGTGATTTGGGTAAAGATGCTGGTGTTAAGTTTCAAACTGCTTCAAAGGAAGCTTGGAAATCGACTCAGGACAATTATGTCAAGTACACGCCAGTATTCCAAGATTGGTTGAAAAATCAATACCGCTCCGTATTATACCACTTGGGAATATTCAATACTAAACTCACTGATGCAGCCGGTGCTGCCAAGGATGAGTTGGGTGATAGATGGGATAGTATTGTCAAGACTTATTCCAATGCTGATTTGAAGTCGTATTTACGTTCATTTGGATACAATTACAATTGGTTGTCTAGTTTGAATCGTAAAGAATTGTTGACGTTGGCTGAGGCCCAAAACAAGTTGTTTAACGGATACAAGTCGTTGAAGTGGGAAAGACCTATTAGTGAAGTGTTGGAAGAAAAACTTGGGTTGGTGAAGCGTCATCCTGAAGGAATAATACAACACGTTAAGTCATGGTTGGGCTTGAAGTGGTATTGAGAAAACTTAAGAAATGTGTGTGTATACGTGTGTATTATTTAGTAGAATTCGTGAAAGATGATGAATTTAGTTGAAGAAGCTGTTACCTTGATGTAGTTTGATTGATATTAAACGGTGAAGTTTGGTAATATTGTATATGATTGCCCAATTAGGAATATTATGTAATAGATTACGTAAAGTGTAAACAAACTCAAATTTTTTTTTTTTTTTTGTTTTTGTTTTCTGAATCAAACACCAAACACACCTAAAGATACACCCTTTTCTTTAGCCCTATTTCTTTAACGATAGATAAATCGTACACACACACACACACACACACGTACACTACTTCCATCAATCAATCAATCACTGTCGTATAAGAATACTACCACACAATGAGAGAAGTCATTAGTATCAACGGTATGTACTACGATGTACAAATGTGGGAAAGAGAGAGAGAGAGAGACGAGTGCGGTAGTTGTTGCTGATTTACAAAGCAAAGTATAACTAAATTCTACGAGCCGGTTGCAAACCAAATCAAGCATCAACAGTTGAATGTTATGCGATCACTTCCATGCCGCACCCGTCAAGCAAGCAACTTGACTATGTTTTAATGGTGATTGCCGAATCTTGATATGCTTACGACCTCAAAGCGCGTCTTTTTCCCTAGTTTTACAAAAAATTTACACTCTTCATATACTAACCGCCACCGTATAGTTGGACAAGCAGGTTGTCAAATCGGTAATGCCTGTTGGGAATTGTACTCCCAAGAACACGGAATCAGACCAGATGGATATTTACAAGAAGGATTAGATAGACCAAAGGGAGGTGAAGAAGGATTTTCCACCTTTTTCAGTGAAACCGGATCAGGCAAGTATGTTCCTCGTGCTTTGTATGTTGATTTGGAACCCAATGTCATTGATGAAGTTAGAACCGGTGTTTACAAGGATTTGTTCCATCCGGAGCAGTTGATTGCAGGTAAGGAGGATGCTGCCAATAACTATGCTCGTGGTCATTACACTGTTGGAAGAGAAATTTTGGACGATGTTTTGGACAGAGTTAGAAGGATGAGTGATCAGTGCGATGGTTTGCAAGGTTTCCTCTTTACCCATTCTTTGGGAGGTGGTACTGGATCAGGTTTGGGATCGTTATTGTTGGAGCAGTTGTCGTTGGATTATGGTAAGAAATCCAAGTTGGAATTTGCTGTTTATCCTGCTCCCCAAGTTTCTACTTCTGTTGTTGAACCTTATAACACTGTTTTGACTACTCATACTACTTTGGAACATGCTGATTGTACATTTATGGTTGATAACGAAGCCATTTATGAGATGTGCAGGAAAAACTTGGATATCGCAAGACCAAACTTTAGTTCATTAAACAATTTGATTGCTCAAGTTGTTTCATCAGTCACTGCGTCCTTGAGATTTGATGGCTCGTTGAATGTTGATTTGAATGAGTTCCAAACCAACTTGGTTCCCTACCCAAGAATCCATTTCCCATTGGTTAGTTATGCCCCAGTTTTCTCCAAAACCAGAGCCAACCATGAAGCTAATTCCGTTTCCGAAATCACCCAATCTTGTTTCGAACCTGGTAATCAAATGGTTAAATGTGATCCAAGGATGGGTAAGTACATGGCCACTTGTTTGTTGTACAGAGGTGATGTTGTCACTCGTGACGTCCAAAATGCTGTGGCCCAAGTCAAACTGAAAAAGACTGTTCAATTGGTTGATTGGTGTCCTACTGGTTTCAAGATTGGCATTTGCTACCAACCCCCAACCGCTATAAAGGGAAGTGAATTGGCGGGTGCTTCCAGAGCCGTTTGTATGTTGTCCAACACCACTGCCATTGCTGAAGCTTGGAGAAGAATTGACAAGAAGTTTGACTTGATGTATTCCAAGAGAGCTTTTGTTCATTGGTATGTTGGAGAAGGTATGGAAGAAGGAGAATTCACTGAAGCTAGAGAAGACTTGGCTGCTTTGGAAAGGGACTATGTCGAAGTTGGTACAGACTCTTTCCCTGAAGAAGAAGAAGAGTATTAGTGGGAGCCAGCGAGTGGTATAAAGCTTAGCTAGTCAGTTGTTGGTGTCGCTGTGGTGGTGATCTGTTTTGTTTCCTTCTCTATTTCTATTCCATCTTTTTTTATATCTACATATACCCCCCTCCTACAATTTATTGGTTATTAGTTTATTATTTCTATATAGTTTTATTGGAAATGTTTAATATTGAGTATTCTTTGATGTAAGATAGACGACGACATGAGCTCTTGGTAGAGGGTGCTGTCGCGACACGAAGACCACCGACACTGCCAATAAATTTTTTCTGTGCAGAAGATCCAGAACTATTTTCACTCATCTCACCTATTTCTCTTGGTATCACAACTTCGTACTTTTACAATGGCAGACACGGACGACAAAAGAAAATTGCTAGCCAATCCGCTTCATGGTATTGTCATCCCAACTGGTCTTCTTCTTTTCGGCACTTGGCTATTCAGTTGGTCATATATGCCATACACCATTGCCTTCATAATTGTCATATGTTCAGTACAGTACTATTTAGCCACACAACGCCAGGCCTCCATGCACCAAACTATATGGCGTGACTTTGAACTCATTGATCGGACAATGGTTGCGCCCATGACCGCCATCTACCGGTTCAAATTGAATCGCGAGGATGAAGTGTTGGATATACCTACTGGCCATCACTTGTCTTGTGTTTTCACAGTTGATGGAAAGGATGAATTACGATACTACTCTCCCATTTCGAACCAGTTTGATGCTGGGTTTTTTGATATTTTGGTAAAACATTACCCACAGGGCAAAGTGACTAGCAAATTGGCATCGGTGCAAATTGGGCAAACTGTCAAATTCAGAGGACCAGTGGGCACGTTGGATTACAAGCCAAATTCCAACAAGGCATTGGGCTTGATTGCAGGTGGAACTGGTATTACTCCCATTTTGCAAGTCATCACCAGAGTGATTACCAATCCTGAAGATGAAACTGAGCTCAAGTTGATTTTTGCATGTCAAACTCCCAATCAAATCTTGTTGAAACTGGAGCTAGACTCGATAGCAGAAAAGTATCCCAAGTTGTCAGTGTACTATACAGTGGATCAGCCAAGTGAGGATTGGGCTGGAGGTGTGGGATACGTGTCCAAGGAAATGATCCAGGACGTGTTTGGCGACGAGAAAGATACAAAGATTTTGATGTCGGGTCCACCAGCTATGAAGAGTCATGTACATGGATTGCTTGAAGAGTTGCAATGGGATAAAGAAAAGATCTTTTATTTTTGAGTGAAGAAGGAATAGGGATGTGTATTGAAATGAACATAATAGAATAAGCTTTGCAGGAGAATGTTTGTTAGTTTGTTGAAGATTGTAGTTAAAATCGGAAAATGTAAAATGGGGTTACTCCGATTCGGCGAAGGTGATAACAAAATGCCTCATCCGAACAGTGTACTCTCTTGATACTCTCGGCTCCGATGGTTAGTGTCGCTCAAAGTGAACTCGGTATACGGTCGAGGCTTAAGAGATCTCTTTTGGATCTATGGGGCTCGATAAATGATTGTGTGTTCCGGAGTTATTTCCCCATTGAGTAATGACCGCAATTTCATCGAAAAAAAAAAAAAAAACTACATTGTTCCGAAACCATTGAGCAATTCACCTTCACAACACCTCACAGTCGTCTCACAAGGGCAATTAACTGCTACCATCATATATAAGCAACCCAATTGTCTTTAATTTTCGTTGACTTCTGATTGCACTATTCCTTTTAGCAAAGTTAAATACAGAAGATTCACAAACGCCACAGTATATCCCGCAATGACCTCACAACCAGTTGAAATTCCCGGAAAATTTGGATTCGGTACTATGTCGATGACTTGGACATCACAACCACCGTCATTTGAGCAATCCATCAACACATTGAAATTTGTAACTTCGCACAATGAATACGGAGTTAAATTGCTTAACGGAGGTGAATTTTACGGTCCTAATGATGTCAATTTGAAGTTGCTTCAACAATTTGTAGCCGCCAATGATCCTTCCATTAATGAAACTTTGATTATTTCAATCAAAGGAGGGGTGGATGCACTGAATTTGAAGCCTGATGGATCCAAAGAATACATTAGTAAGTCAATTGAGAATGTTGCATCGTATTTTCCGAAAAGTGGACCCAGGCCCAAGTTGATTTTTGAAGCCGCTAGAGTCGATCCTCAAGTGCCATACCAAGATACAATTAAGTACATCAAGGAGTATGTCGATAATGGGACAATTGATGGTATTTCCTTGTCTGAAGTGGGAATAAACTCCATAGAGAAAGCTACGGCAATAGCACCCATTTCATGTGTTGAGTTGGAGCTTTCATTGTTCTCGCAAGATATAATCAACAATGGAATCTTGTCGTTTCTTTCGGAAAAGCAGATTCCAATTATTGCTTACTCGCCATTATGTCGAGGAATATTGACTGATTATTGTGTCGAGCATGCCGATACTTTCCTTTCAGAAATCCCTGAGGGCCATTTCAAGCATACGTTGGATAAGTTCCAACCGGAAACTTTCAAGCAAAATTTGGTGCCATTGAAGAAACTTTATGCATTTGCTCATGATGTGAAACATACAAGTTTGGAAAGCTTGGCACTTTCTTGGATCTTGAAAATATCAGGACATTCCAACTACAAGGGCATTGACAAAGTGACGAGAATTTTGCCTATCCCATCTGGATCCACTATTGATCGTGTAAAGTTGAATTTCGGCAATTTTGTTGAATTGAGTAATGATGACTTGAAAGCAATTGATGAGATCTTGAAGGAGAATCCAGTCAAGGGGTTAAGATATAATGCTCATGCTGAAGGTTCTTTGTTTCAATGAAGATAAAGGTATTTTGCTTTTAATTGTACATAGAGGGTGATTAAATAAGTGTGTGTTGAAAAAAAAAATTAGCACAAATTTGATGCGAAATGTAAACCCATCATCACAGCAGTATTTTGTAACAAAAACAGTTCATAACTGATTATTCAATAGCTTAAGCTATCATCAGGTAGTGTTGTTGTACGTGAATCAAGTACCAACTGTTTGGTTAATTCTTTTTGCCGTATGTCTGAGTGGAACAAAGAGAGAGAGAGAGAGAGAGAGAGCACAAAAACACCACACGAATATTATTTAGTCGATGAAAATCAAGACCAGATTTAGAATGTCGACGCCTCAAAGAACCATTCCAACAATTCAGGTTCGGAATTGCACATAATAAGACGAGCTTTAAAGGCAAAGCATTCATCAACATTCACTGTCTAAGAAGAAGATGAGATTGTTCCACCTACTATTCCTTCTTATTACCAACTTGCTCCAATTTTCAATTGCCAAACGTGTCACCAACGTGAAACCAACAACGCCATATCGGAAAGTGTTCCTCAATTACCAAAACAATGGAATATGTTTGCTCGCCAACGAAACTGAGCTAACTCACTTCGACTTGGAATTTGAATTCGATAGAGATAATGAAACGGTTCCCATTTTGATCTTCAACTACCGAGATTTATTCCATTTTACCAACTTGCCCAATTTTAATGATTTCTTAAACCACACGTATCTTGAGGAGCAAATCGAGGATTCTGGACAAGACAAGAGCTTGCTCCTTGTTGATGAAGGAAGGAAACTGGTTTATTTCAATCTACAAGTAAGGGATATTGCACGCGGGTTGCCCAAGCTGGTTTGGTACGATGTGGTTACAAACAAGACCACGTATGTGCACTACGATGTTGAGGAACCGGGTACGTATTGTATCTATATGCCATTGTATACTTATGATGGTGAGCTCATCCAGCCAACGAACTACAAGGCCAGTTTATCAGTGGAGGAGTTTCAACCCGTGAGTGTGTATCATGACATTGCATCATCGTTGAATATTGGCATCTTATTTGGGTCAAGCTTGCTTATATTGAGTTTTTTGTATCCGGCTATTCGAGCTGGGAAATTTGATAAGTTGCCACCGGTGGTTCAACAATTGAGCCAGTTGTTGGCAGTTCATACTGCATTTACGTTGATTCAGTTGGTGCTTCGTTTGGTTTATTTGTTCTTGCCCAATGATTTCATCTACACATTCACTGAAGTTTACTTTGGGTATTTTGCCAATTTCTTGTTGAGGTCGTGGCAAAAGTTTATTATGTCTCAAGTTTATTTTGGATTGGGGTATGTCAATATCCCCACAAAGTCCTTGAAATTTCTCAAGATTTCAAAATTCATTTTCCAATGGGCGTTTATTGTCGGTCTTTTCACCGAGTTTATTTTTGATACGTGTCTCGACATCCCACAACCAATAACTGGCATCTTGTATAATGGTCAACCTTATCTGATTTACAAAAAATCAATTTTGGTTAATAATCTCTATGCCAATATTGTCTTTAATCAGAGTTCCGATTTATTTAAGTACGTTTTCAAATACGGATCTCACGTGCAGCTCTTGTGTGGACTCCTTTTGCAAGCTTCCCGATTCGCAAGTGGATTCTACTTAGCTTGGAAATTGAGAAAAAAGTCCAACTTGGCTAAACCAATGTTTACAACGATATTGATTCATTTGATTGCATGGACATTGTTTGGTAGGCAGACAATCTATGTTCTCTTTATTCATTTGAAATTTACTGGAGTTTTTGATGTTGGTGAAATGTTGGCTAATATGGGACACTTGATTGAGAATTATGAAGTTAAATGGTCGGCGCTTGCCTTGGTGGAGATTTTGATGCTTTGGTTTATCTGGACGGCGAAAACACCTCGTGAATTTGACATTGTTTCTGAGTTTGACGGCAGTGCAAAGCAAGATAAGAAGGTAAATCACGCCAAGAGAGCGAAAGGTAGCAAGAAACTGACTGGTGAAAAGAAGGTGAGCAAGAATGTCGAGAAAAGGGTGCTGGCCTGAACCAGTGGTGGTGACAGAGAGGAGGTAGGAAAGATTGAAAAATCAAAGCAAATCAGTCTCAGGTTGATACAGTTGTATCCATACATTAGAGATTATAAATCTGTACCATGTATCAGTAGTGTTCTTTACATATCAATTTAATTGTCTTCTCATTCTATATTCCTTCATTGCTTCTTGAAACAGCTGAATGATTTCATCGCTTCTCAATTCAGCTAATGATCCAGCATTATACAACTGTATTACTCGATTGTCAATGCCATCGTCAACCCCAACTGTAGAGTCCACGCCACCACAACCATGATCGGTATCGTTACAGCCGTCACGTTTTGCGTGTGTTCCAAGGTCAGTTGTATCTCCTTCTTGCTTACCTTCCTCATTTTTCCGCTCTTCCTTGACATCTTCAACAACTTTGTCAAACTCAGATTGACAAAACAGGGTGCCAACTTCATCCAAAGAGACAGACGTCAATGATTTACTTTGCGTATAGTGCTTCCATGAAGTGAGGAAATAAAATCTTGAAAATTGTGTCAATAGCCTGCGTTGTTTCAATGTTAGCGACTTGCTTTGCAGAATTTTGTTTGCCAATATAGGGTAATGGAAAACTTCATATGCAAAAGTCAATGAAACTGCATGGAGCAATGTAGTTTTAGTCAATGGGGATTGCGATTGGCTGATAAAGTAGTTCAAGTCTGATATTATTTCGTTAACTTGTTGTCCTTTGTAGTTGTTGTTGTTGGTGCTGGTGATGGGGTGAAGCGTAACAAGTACCTTGAGAAAGCTGTTTATACAGTCTTGAGCCATTGGTGGAGATGCCGTATCGATTGAGGTTAGAATGTAGTTGATGTGGCTGAGTAATTGTCTTCGGAGGTTAGGTTCAACAACCTTGGATGTCTTGATGTATAGATAATAGTATTCGAAGTACAATACCACTAGTCTGTAGTTTCCATCAGTCAACTGATTCTTGTAAAGGTTGATCTGGTTAATTATTTGGTTATAGATTCTGATTTGAGTTTTAAAAATTCCCTGCAATGTGGTCTCTGGTTGGCCGTGTGGTGTAAATTTGTTGTTATTTGTCTCATAATTCAAGAACTGTCCTACTATTGATAATGAGGGAGTTGGCAATGTTGTACTTGTCGTTGCGAAAGGCAGTACTGGGTCTTTGAGTACTTGAAATAAGCTTGGGTCCACCTCTTCAAATATGCGTTTTAGTAAATAAGTTTGAATCTTGGTGAACATGGTTATCTGTAGATATGTGCTATGTGATGGAGGTGGAACTTGCGTTGTGAGTTTGAATAATTAGACAATTAGAATTGGCATTTATAGAAGTAGTCCTCATTTATTTACAATTTGCTCAATATTTTTAGAAAAAGAAACTACATGAAGAGATCTTAGCGTCAACTACATCATTCATTATGTATTTTTTGTTGAGTGGGTAGGGTGGGCCGGCACAAGTAAGCAGAGAGAAGCACTGGTCTTAAGACTAAACTTGAACAGAAAGAAATGAAGAAAAGAGTGGAATTTATTAGCCCACAGAAAGTTAAATGACGTGTTTCTAATTATTATTTTGTCCTTCCTGTCAGTTGATGTAACATTCTCTTCGCATGAAAAGAAAAGAAAAGAAGGAAAGCTAACAATGTAATTTCGTTTCTTTTCAGGGTAGAGAGTTGAGTTGTTGGCATCACACTCTTTTTTCTTTTCAATGGAGTAATGTACAGTTGAGTTGTGTTGGAAAATATGATTGCAAAATAATATAAATTGAAAACATTTGTAAAACTTGAAATAGTTTTGTGTCATATGCCACTGGTGTGTCGTCGATTAATCAATGTCAGAACAGCTGTCATTACGACAAGTGGCTGCACTAAAGCAAATCCTGTTACAAACAACTCTACACGCCATCATGCGGGTAATGAATAGCCTTCTGTTTCCCGTGAACACAAACATAAGCACAAGCGTAACCTCGATTGGCTTTTGAAACATATATGTAATGAGTAATCAGCACTGCTTGCAGTATTACTGGGATTCAGGAATAAAACAAATGACAGCTAGGGTTTGTTACTTCCTCACGCCTTCCTTTGTAGCTTTGACTTGAAGTTGGAACAATGCCATTTCTTAGGCAGAAAATGTTAGGAGTAGAGTTGACGAGGATATCATTGGATCACGAAACAAATGGTAATTAAAGGCTGAGACGAGACGGAATGAATCAAGCCACACAAAACTGCAAAGAAGATAAAAATAAAAATTTGTAAACAAACAGTGAATAAATTATAAAGCTCAGTCCCAAATAGGAAATACATCCATACACACATACTGACTCTACGAAGAGAAGGAAACGAAAAAAAAAAAAAAAAAAAAAGAAATAGAAAAAATTAAGCTTCGAGGGAGAGACAAGAGAGATCACTCAAGGGATACACACAGAAGGAAGCGATTAACACAGCCTTGCCTTATTTAAACTCAATTTGAATAATTGGACTATATATATAGCTACAAGTGTCAGTGTAACCTACCCATCCACTGACCGGAAAAGCAGCTACATCTACCAAACTACACAACTCAATCTTAAATTTACGGTACCCCAGACAACGCGTTTCAGATCAAAGTATGAGTTATAATAGACCCAATAATAATGGAAATGATCCAAACCATCTACACCCGAACTACAACACCAATCACCAAAACAATCTCTATAGAATGCCATCTGATGATTTTGATGATGATGATGATAATCTGTCCTTGGAGTTTTTGGATCACAATACGAGCCATACTCCTTTAACACAAGGAGTACACACTACTTACCATCCCAGCAATGCATCAACAAACTCACTCAATTTCAATGACCGCCAAACTGCTCCACCACCCATCTATCAACAAAATGCATCAACATCTTCCCTCCATCATGGCGACTACTACAATCAGCCCATTTTCAGTGCTCCGCCACAAGTTCAAGGGGACCCTTTTCAAGAAGACTATGAAATGCATCAGTATCAGGGGTATAACAACAACAATGCCAACACTTACAATTATAATCATGCTTTCGTTCCTCACGCATACTCTGACGACGATCAAGAAGAACGAGAATTTGACCAGAGGATACAGTACAACCAATTTGAAGGTGATCACTACGATTTGGCTACTGCTAGCTATGTTGATGATGATACACAACCGGATTTTGTCCCAGTGCAAAACTTGGTTGATGAAGAAGATGAAGAAGAGGTTCCAGACAGTCCGTTTGGTGACAATGAGAATCGTGATTTTCAACAACCTCCAGATCAAGAAGAAGTGAGGGCCAAGAAACCCATCAGAGCATCTGGTATCAACGGTCATTTGGTGCTTGACTGCCCAGTAGCTGGCGAATTGCTCTCCAAGTTTCCGGATTATAACAAGGAAGAGAAAGATGGAGGATTATCGAGAGAATTTGCATTTATGAGGTATACCGCAGTTACTTGTGGTCCTTCTAATTTCTATCGCGATGCTTACATCTTACGTCCTGTGCACTACCCTATTCCAAGACAAACGGAAATGATGATTGTAATCACAATGTATAACGAGGACGATATCCTCTTGGGAAGAACTTTGAAAGGTGTCTTCAAAAATATTAAATATCTTGAATCAAAATCAAGATCATCTACATGGGGTAAAGACTCTTGGAAAAAAATCGTTGTTTGTATTGTTAGTGATGGAAGAACAAAGATTAATGAACGAGCTCAAGCGTTGTTGGCGGGATTGGGGGTTTACCAGGAAGGGTTGGCCAAGAGTAGAGTTGATGATAGGAAAGTGCAAGCTCATATGTATGAATATACCACCAGGGTCGGTATAAGCTCCGTTTCGGATGACGTTGTCAAGCTCACCACAGAAAAGATTGTCCCTGTTCAAATGTTATTTTGCTTAAAAGAAACAAATGCTAAAAAAATCAATTCCCATCGTTGGTGTTTCCAAGCAATTGGACAAGTCTTGGACCCCAAAATTGTAGTGTTGTTGGATTGCGGTACTCAGCCAACGGGTAAGTCTCTTTACAAGTTATGGAAGGAGTTTGATAATGACCATCGAGTTGCAGGCGCGTGTGGAGAAATCATTGCCTCGTTGAAGAAAAGACAAATGATTACAAACCCGTTGGTTTATGGACAGAATTTTGAGTACAAGATTTCAAATATTTTGGATAAACCTACTGAGTCTTCATTTGGATTTATTTCAGTGTTGCCGGGTGCCTTTTCTGCATATAGAAATATTGCATTACAAAACGATATCAATGGCAGAGGTCCCTTGGAAAAATATTTTAAAGGAGAGTTCTTACATTCCTCAGGTCAATTGGATCCTCAAGATGATGAATATGAAATGAAGCGAGCATTACTTAAAGAGGAAGCGGGGATCTTTACCTCAAACATGTACCTTGCCGAAGATAGAATCTTGTGTTTTGAATTGGTGGCAAAACAAGGGTGTAATTGGGTATTGCGGTATTGTAAATCAGCTAGAGCTGAAACTGACGTTCCTGAAGGCTTGGCTGAGTTCATCTTGCAAAGAAGAAGATGGCTTAATGGATCATTCTTTGCCGCTATCTACTCGTTAGTCCATTTTTTCAAAGTTTGGCAAAGCTCCCATTCTTTTAGTCGGAAAATCATGTTGCACGTTGAATTTTTCTATCAATTGATCAATTTAATTGTGTCATGGTTCTCCATAGGGTCCTATTTCCTAGTGTTTCGAATCTTGACTACATCATTATCAGATACGGATTTGCATTTTGCTCCGGGAAATGTTTTGTCGGTGATTTTCCTTTGGTTGTACTTGGCATCCATCGTTACTACATTTGTCCTCAGTTTTGGTAACAAACCAAAGGGAACAGAACGATTCTACATTGTTATTGTCATTTTCTTTGCTATATTGATGGCGTATATGATCTTTGCCGCCATTTTCCTTGCTGTTCATGCGATCCAACAAATATACAGAGAGCAGTCCTTTTCCGTGCAGTTATTTTTCCAAAATGCTCAATTCAGGGACTTGATAGTGGCCACTGCTTCCACTTATGCTTTGTACTTCCTCGCATCATTCTTGTACTTTGAACCATGGCACATGTTTACATCATTCGTTCAGTACTTGCTTCTATCCCCGTCCTATATCAATGTCCTCAACATTTATGCATTTTGTAACATCGATGATGTGTCATGGGGTACAAAGGGGGATGTTGGTGGTAAATCGCTTGGTGAGGCGAAGTTACGTGAAGATGGTACTTTCGACGTTAGTGTGCCCATCCTCAAGGAGGAAATCAATCAATCGTATTTAAACCAGTTGGAGAAAATTAGAGATCCAGCACCACCACCGGAAAAACAAGTTGAAGTCAATACCGAAGATTATTATGCATTCATTAGATCCATGACGGTTTTGATTTGGATGATTTCGAATTTCGTTATCGTTGCCGTGGTGTTGGAGACTGGCGGGTTCAATCAATTGGATGGCAGTGAAAAGACAAACACGTCGGAATCAGTAAAGACTACAAGACTGGAGATTTTCTTGACGGTGATTTTGTGGACGGTTGCTTTTATGGCGTTGTTTAGGTTTATCGGCTGTATTTATTACTTGATCAGCCGATTGGGCAGACGAATGAGACGCAGTGAACATGCAACTAAATAGAAGGGGGAATTTTTTTTGCCATATATTATATGATTGAATAGAATATGATAATTTACTATTTCTTTAAGAACCACGTGAGCGCAATGCTCGATCCAAAGTCGCACCACAGTTTTCTTCCTCACCACTAGTCTGCGCTACCAAATCGGAACTAATGAGTCGACGAGTTTCTCCAAATGGCTTAGTCTGCAAATTTTCATAAATTATACAAACTCATTCCATCTGGTTGTCCAATTCACATCCAACGCAAACTCAACACTGTAAATAATCCATTAAAGATGTCGCATTTCTCAACAAAGTCAATCCACGGTGGCGATCACGTCAAACCAACCAACGACGTGATCTCACCAATTCACATCACAACCACATACAGCTACTCCTCCAACCCCGACGAATTGGTCCCTGGGGGCTTGACTGATCCCACTACGCTTGTATATTCTCGTGAGAACCACCCCAATGCAGCACAAGTGGAAGCCATTGTCGAGGCCATCACTGGGTACCCCGCTGTCGTTTACAACTCGGGCTTGTCTGCATTCAATGGATTGATCACCCACGTCAACCCGAAAACTGTTGCTATTGGGCAAGCGTACCACGGATGTCATGGAATTGTTGATATTTGGAAGCGTAATTATGGAACTAAGGAAATTGATATCGACCAAGGGGACTATTCGTCTATTGGTGCTGGCGACTTGGTGCATTTGGAAACACCCGTGAATCCATATGGAACGTACTTTGATATCACAAAGTATGCCAAAAAAGCGCATGATCAAGGTGCGTTGCTATCTGTCGATGCGACCTTTGCTCCACCACCTTTATTGAACCCATTTGAATTTGGTGCAGATATAGTTATGCATTCCGCTACAAAATTCTTTGGTGGTCACTCTGACTTATTAGCTGGGTTGTTGTTGATCAAGGACCAAGCTACAAAGGAGAAGTTGCTCTTGGATCGATTGGTCCTTGGTACAAACATTGCTAATTTGGAGAGTGCATTATTGGTTAGAAGCTTGAGAACTTTTGAATTACGTGTTGCAAGACAAGCTAAATCCGCTGAAGCTATTGTCAAGTTTCTTGATGACCATAAATCTGATTTCCCGCAGTTGGATAAGATTTACCATGGTTCATTGCAAACTGACGAGTTTATTGCCAAGCAGTACCCCAATGGTCACTCACCTGTGTTTTCCATTGAGTTGGATACTGAATTACACGCAAAATCGTTCCCATCTAAGTTGAAGTTGTTCCACCATGCTACTAGTCTTGGAGGTGCAGAAAGTTTGATTGAATGGAGAGCAATGAGTGATGACCATATTAGTAAGAAATTGTTACGGTTATCAATTGGATTGGAGGATCCTCGTGATTTGTTGATTGATTTGGTAAATGGGTTATCTAGTGATGGTGGTGCAGATTCGTTGGTTGAAGAGATCAAAAAATTGAGTGTATAGAGAGGTACTGAATTGTAAGTGTGGTTCTTAGGCTGCTCATATAATGACTACTTTTGACTCAATGTTTAACTGCATGTACTCTACTACGTCATCAAAGAAATCATGAATCCTACGAGACAAAAAGTACTTCTGAGAGCTGTTTCTGGAAATAAGTGAGGAATAGAGTACATTGTCTTCGGCGTTAAACCAAGTGCGTAGATGGGTGAAGATTATCGTGGCAGGTGTTGAAATGCAAAAATCACCCCCACCAGTCGATATCCGCACCATTCCGCAAACTGGAAAGTGATATTCTGAGGCTGATTGTACAATTCTGATTTACAAGCAGCGCTGAACACTGAGTCTTTGCCAAGCTACAATCCGTTATCTGAAAAAAAAAGTGGTGATCAAAAAAAGGATCTCCAATTGATACCGGGACAGCATGAAACCCCGCCAGTTTAGTTGCTCGAATTTAGGTTTCAGGATTCATGCAATCACGGACCGAGGCTGTCATCACCGAGGCTTGCAAAGGCTGTAAGTTGCGCTCATGCACCTATTGTCTTTTTTGTGCAATTCAATGACCTCGGGTTTACTTTTAAATAGAGATTACGAAATGAAAGGGCTGAGCCACTGACGACAAATGGCCGGTGTTGAACATGCTCTAGAAAAGAACCCTACTAGATATTGCTGTGTTGGTCTCCTCGGCGAATGCCGTTTCTAGGTAAAGTCACATTTGAAGTAACCGTATTAGCTTCGAGGGAAAGGCGTAACATCTAGATAGGCGGTAGGAAGGAAACACAAACAAACACTATTACGTCACACTCTCGTTGAGTTAATGCATTCATTTGTCTTGTCTGTTATCTCAAATCACATTGTAGGCTAGTTTGATCATGATTTTTTTTTTTTTTATTTTATTTTAAGACCTTTATCTCCGTCTTTGTGGCACTCCTTAATTGGATTAGTGTGCGGGACTACTCTAGTTTGTAAGCGCTTAAGCTTCTGCCACTACTCCATCAAACCGTCTCCAAGCAGAGAGGTATTGAATGACCCTGAAGTTGTTTGAAGCAAAGACATAAGATTGATAAACAAACACACTATACGGCAATTCAATTGATTCGAAGCACAGCCTCAACATTCAATTGTAGCCAAAAACGATCCTCGCAAATGCAATGCATAAACTCTTTTGAAGCTTAGCCCCGAAGAACAGGTATAGTCCTTCATTTTAGCCAAGCCTTCTTTTTTTTTTTTTTCTTTTGCTCTGCCTCTTGGCCTTTTGCATTAATTTGATGATCAATCCTTTTTTTTTTTATATGTTGTTAGCTCTCTCTCTCTCTCTGCATGATTATGTAAACACACACACACACAAAATCTTTTTTTTTTTTAATACAATTTCTTTGTACGGCTTAGCTTAACGTAATTTCTTACTTAATTACAAGTATTAAAGCTTAACTACTGGTAAACTATGGGGTATTACATAATATTCACCATGTCTCACAAACGCCCCCCCCCCCCAAAACAAAAAAAAAAACAAAAAAAAAAAATTAGAAGTAAGACCATGAGACTTAGAATATAAAAGGATCAAACTATTCTCTTTCAAATCCCTTGGTCCAATTTCTAGGTCTCCAGTCACTAACTACAGACAATCCTTTCGACAATGCAACATTCCAACGATCCAACTACGTTACGTGGTACCCATTCCACAGATTCATTTGATCCCGCCACTTACAAACAAAAAACGAATATTATTGACGAGGAGCCCACAGTCAAGCCAGAAATGGTTTTGAAGAATTTTGCAAAGACTTATGAGACACCGGCGCCAGGTGGTTATCAAAGATTTATTGCCGGTTTAGGTTCTTGTTTTGGTCAGTGTGGTATGTTTTGCTTCTTGTGTGAAAACCCATATAAGGAGGTTGATCAAGGTGAGGTCGGTTTGGTGCAAACTTTTGGTAGGTTGTCAAGGACTGTTGAGCCAGGTTTAAGCTATGTCAACACTTGGAGTGAAAGATTGACCCGGGTATCCATCAAGATCAACATTCGTGAAATCCCTGCACAGAAATGTTTGACCAGAGATAACGTGTCAGTTGTTATTACCTCAGTGGTGTATTACAACATCATCGATCCGATGAAGGCCATCTTTTCGATCCAAAACATTGACAATGCTATTATTGAGAGAACACAAACTACAATGAGAGATGTAATTGGTGGTAGAGTATTACAAGATGTTGTTGAAAAGAGAGAAGAGATTGCTGAATCAATTGAACAGATCATTGCCAAGACCGCTTTCGACTGGGGTGTTAACATCGAGTCCATTTTAATCAAAGATTTAACTTTGCCAGATAAGGTTCAAGCCTCGTTGTCCATGGCTGCTGAGGCCAAGAGAATTGGTGAAGGTAAAATCATCAATGCTAAAGCTGAAGTTGAAAGTGCTAAATTGATGAGAAAAGCTGCTGATATCTTGGCGTCCAAACCAGCTATGCAAATCAGATACTTGGACGCTTTGCAAAACATGGCCAAGTCCCCTGGTACAAGAGTCATCTTCATGCCTTCAGCCCAAGAAGTCGAGAAAATGGCAGGATCCAACATTGGTGACGTTTACGTTGACAAAGGTAAGGGCAAGCTTCAAGATTTGGAGGAAGATACTGACTGGGCAGGTTCCGAGCATGAAAGAGTCGCTTCACCTCAACGAAACATTCCAGTGGGAATCAACAACAATAGGCATGTTGCTGATACTGTTGCCTTGCAAGAAGCCATGCACCAATAAAAACTGCATTGTAGCGGATGTCCTTAATGGTGATCTGCATGTGCTCCCTTTCGTTGTTCAATTTGAGTAAAATTGCAAAAAAGAAGCCAAAAAAAAAACAAAAAAAAAAACCAAATCTGCAACTCCCGTGACATTATTTACATTCTTTTATGTGTTTAGTTTAATTTTGATGAGTGATGATATACTTTGACAGGTTGCACCTTGTAGATAGCTGCAGATACCCAACTCTCTCTATCAATGTCGCAAGTTTGCTACGCGTCACTCGATATGTCGCGGAAATGCACGAGAGAAAATCCTCTCGCAAGAAAGTTTTGTTCAACACATCAAACACACACACACACACCCCTCCCCCATAGCCAACGATATTCAACCCCAACTTGCAACAAACCAGTGATCATCAGAACCTTGAGATGAATTGGTACGATGTGGATACTGCTGACCATAAGAACAACGCGAGTCCCAGCAAGTTCCCAGGTAATGACTCCAATATACCACCCACGCCGACCAAATCACGGTTAAATTTCAGCCAAATAAAACATTTGTATCCTGATAAACCAGCCCAGATTACACATAGCGACAATAACAGCTACGAAAGCCTACTATCTCCGCCAAACGTTAGTCGCTATCCGAATAGGTCGGTTGATTCTGTTCCTTACGAAAATGGTGCAGCGGACGAGTATGAGTTTAGCATCCCATTAAGTCTAACGGCCCAGGAGTTGACGTTGCAAGAATCAAAGACATATATGAGGTGGTACAGTGATATACTAGCTAGAACAAACAGTCGAACAATTTCGATATCGGACGTATTCAGCTTCTTGACAAACTTTAAAATCCCTGATTCAGTGAGGCAGCAAATAAGTCAAGTCTTTCAAAAGATTAGCCGAAGCGTCAACATTGGGGAGTTCTTTGCTTTGCTTAGGGTCATTAGTCACACTTTGAATGGTGAAACTCCCCTGAGGAAGTTGATTAAAGTTGTGGCACCAGTGCCTACTCCGCCTTCTATTCTATCGAAAAAGAGGCTCAATGAGGAAGAGGATAGTTCAGATCGAAGCGATGGAGAAGGCGACAATATACAAAACACAAACCCCAATAGCAATGGGAAGCCGATGACACCGCTTGACATCGATGGGTTTACCCAGTTTCTTTTAACGGGAGAACGACCAGGATCGAATTCCTCAACAAACTCCAACACCAACTCGCGAAAGCGCAAGTCCAAAAAAGTGAAGTTCTCTGATCAGATAGACGTGCACGATGACTCAAACTATTTGTCGCCAATGGAATCACCTCAGCCTGTTTCCCAAAATCCCTTGGATTATACATTACCTATGGACCAGTTGCTCAAGCAGATGCAATCCAGTTTACAACTGCAAAACCCACAAGAACAGGAAGAGGAGAAGGAAGTGTTGAAAGATGTTGAGATCAACAATTTCCAAAACTTGAACTCTGTCGATACGGTATCTGTAGGGGGCACCCCAGTTCCGCCCTCTGACTTTGCCAATCCCAATGACCAAGATGATAACTTGTTGAAACCAAACATGACAGGCCCTGCACAAATGTCAAAAATGTTCTCTACGCTTCAACCCAATTTCAGCAACAATGAACCTGATTTGAAGCCATTACGGCCCAACGTGACTGGTCCTGCAGATATGGCAAGACTTTTTTCACCACCAGCAGCGCAATCTCCACAACAATCACTATCTCCGCCACCAATACAGTCACAGCAACAACAGCAACAACAAGATCTACCCAAGATTTCTCTTCTGGCTTTCACCTCACAAATGACTGGTCCAACGTCGCAAAACACATTTCAGAATACTTTACAAAATGGGAAACCACCAGTGCCGCGTCATAGGTCACACTCATCACCGATACCCAACAAGCCTGCTCCACCTCCTCCACCTCCAAGAAGAAGAAACGCCAGTGGAAGAGGGGTCTCTTCACCTCAGCCACAACCTCAAGCGCAGCCACTCCAACAACATTATCCCCAGCAAATTCAACAACCACCACCCGCATTGCCTCCAAAGATCCCCAATATCTATGTGTCGGGACATCCCAACAATGATTCGACGGGCAATATCTTGGACGATTTGAAAGCGATGCAGGATGAAGTGGACAAGATTCGGAACTTGACAGGAGGGTTTTAAGAAATGAAACAATGGAAGAGACGAGGTTTGATAGAAGAGGCTCTATATTTCTATAGACAAACTATACACTTGATTTCTTACACTTATGTAGAAGTTTGGTTTATATTCTCAATTTCTTGCTGGAAATTGGTCAAGAACTCATCAAAATCTTTCTTTACCTCATCAACGTAAGCAAATACAATATCCATTCCATCCTCACCACTTGCTAAGTTAAGCTGCAAATGCGCAGAAAATCCACACCCTTGACTGAACCAAACTTGAGGTACTGGCAACTTACCAACGTTGCTAAGCTCTAATGTACGTCTTGCATGAGTACCAATTCTTCCACCTGCAAAGTTACCTACATTGACAAACTTGAGCAAAGCGACACGATTGAATGGATCGCGCGTTTCCAAATCAGTTGTTAACTGAGTGGAAATGGCGGATGTGGTGGATTCTATCTCGAATGGGGGATCGAGTGTGACAACTGATTCCGCAACCACAACTTGGTACTTATCTGCTGGTGTGTATCTGCGACCATTCAATGGAATAGTAGCATCAAAAGAGTTGTTTGGGTGTAGTTTCAGAAACAGGCGAAAAGTAATGGCAATGATCCACGGCGTCAACGTTGTATTCATTGATTTGACGTGAGTCAATAATGACTTGAGTGTAGTTGGATCAATGTGAATGACTTTAAAGTGTGTGATCTGGTCAACAACTACTGGCTTGGTTTGAAAAATTGGAAACTGTGTTGCAGGTTTGAACCATGATGGAGCCACAACCAATTTGAACACATTCTTCAATGTTTGCAAAATGGGCAACGAATACAAAGAGGTTGTTGCGTCAACTGGTGGAGGCACAGACGTAATCTCAACGGCTTTCACAATGTATTCCAATGGCACCAACAGATCTTCAATGGGGTTCAATTCCTTCAATTCTTCGAGTAAATCCTTGTGGAAAAAGCAACCACTGTTGCCGTCGAAATAGATATGCGAACACACAATAGTCACATACGGCCCATTAAGGACCAAGTGCCATAATGGTTTCCTCTCATTTATATTGAAAAATATCTTGTCTAACCCAGAGAAGAATTCGTCATTGATGTAAGTTTCAGTCGGATCTGATCTCACTGTGATTAAATCATCGAATTTGATATCTATAGCACGAATTGAATAGTCTCTGTAATCATTATGGTCTTCGGCTTTGGTGGATTTGAAATAGTTGCATCCGAGGATTGGGTTCTTCACAATGATGTTATGCACGGCATGAGCCAACACTGTTGGACTGATTGAAGATGCATATTTAACAGTGATGTTGAAATTGGGATAGTATTTATTGTCAACACGGCACAATTGATACCGTTCCATAAACGATGGTGGACGCAAGTCTCGGGTCATTGGAAACGAGCCAAGAAACTTAGTGGGTGTGGGTGTGGGTGTGGAAATGATTAGATTGGATGTATCTGCAAAAGCTTAGCGTTCATACGGTAAAATGTACTAATCTTCGCGAAACATTACGTTGAAAACCATTTAGGGAAGTAGTTACGAAAAGCCGCACAGTCGAAAATTGATGAGAAAAAAGGCCGCCAGCAAGTCACCTACAAATGGGGGAGTGATAGGGGGGGTGGGGGGCTGGATTATAATAAATAGGATGTTGCTTGCATATATTACAAGCCAGGTTTCATGTATGTATCCTTTTTCTAGTGATGTAGTAAGGCTGTTGGTTATTGTTAAACCATAAATTGGGTGCTACCAAGCCCTAAGTGCTACCAATTGTCGGGTGTATTATGATTGATTTTAACCTCCTTAGGAAGGTGGATTAATTGCGACGCGTAGCATTTGGATGGCTGTGTAGAGCTACAGAACATATATAAGTGCTTATGTTGTTGATTTCACACATTTTTATGTGGTTCTTTTGGAAATTAAGTTTATTCTTCACTAAATTTTGTAGTAGAACTGCACTAATTTGACAACAAAAACGGAAAAAAAGAAAGACAAGATTATAAACTCAAGTACAAATTAAGATTGAGAAATTCAATCTCTATTTATAGTGTTGATGAGACTGCGCACAAGAGATGAAACACTCTTGTGGCCCTGCTGGCAACAGAACTCTTCTCTGAAGTTCACTAGGATTATATGAAACGAATAACAAACTCAATTTAGGTTGTGAATAATATTTTCTTGACGAGGTCGTGTGTAATTTACAGGAAACTTTATTGAAAAGATTCGCAACGTTTTATTATACCAAGTATTTCTGTACAATAGGGGTTACACACCATTTAGTTTACAGCTTTGGATAAAGCAACAATTGCGATGACAAGAGTCATCACATTAAAAATGGTGTTTCCAATATTCCATTTAGTATTTGTCATGATGGCTTGGCTCTGGTTTTTAACCAATTGTCTTAATTGGTCATCTGAGTCTTCGTGTGTGTAGGTGTTCATGGTAGATTTGTGTGGGTTAGTTCCCAAGTAGAGTCGAAAGGAAGAAAAAGTGCGAAAGAAAGCTGATTTAAAAGATGTCAAAGCGGGAAAATACGTCATTTGTGAAAACTTTCGTGGATTAAACGAAAGTAAATGCGGAAATTTTACTTGTTGTTGATTTTCGAAGGTGCGCAAAAAAAAAAAAAACATTATCTTCAAACCATCTATCTATATCCTGTATATAACATACATAGTATTGGCGTATAGTACAACCATCGTGTCCATGTCCTGACTAGAGCACGACACGACACAAATGGAGCTATATTAAGATTCTCCATTTGCTCTATATGTTGATGCATTGTAGTCTATTTGTGGTTTAATGACGTATCTTGCCTAAGATTAAAGTATGTTCTCAGAACAAGTGTTTATGCAAAAGTAAAACGTAAATTAAAGGATTGGTTGATTCCATAAAAAGAGTGTTAAAAGTCTGAAAGGCTTCTACTGTCAAAGATAGACGAATATAAACTTGTCTAGAGTTTTGAACAGAATTTCATATTCATGCATGAGCGCTAGAGGTGTTTCATACAATATAGATACTTTTCCCTTGAGTTTATAAATCCCTTAGCTCAATAACAATTGTCAATACAAGTAATGAATGAATTTCTATATACAAATATATAGAGATAATTATGAGCTTTAGCTTACATTTATATTGATTAGCTTCAATTAGCATAAGTCACGTATTTGTGGTTGACGTATAGGTATCGTGTTGATGAGAGGTGTTGTGATAGGGACTTGATATTGCCATGACAACATAGTAATAGTTGACGCATAGCAACAAGTCCTTCCTTCAAATAGTCTCCCTGAACCGAAGTAGCAATGCCAACCCGTAGACCCTTTGG